CATTTCTTGAGTACATCACAGTCATTAGGCACTTGCACATTTCATTGCATTAAAACAATCTTCATGATATATTACCATTTAAATCTTAGTAGCTACATTCATTTTTTGTTTCTCTTGCAGCATTTTTTTTCCTTTTTTTCTTAGGCTGTTGACGAGAGAGTTAGCATAGGTACTCTCAAGTCACTATGCTTGCTTGGAATATTTTGGAAAACCTGTAGAAAAGGAGTCGTCATCATCCGTTCAAGTTTACCAGAAAATACTGTCCATGTCCATGGAAATGGAGGTCTATCATAATAGGGCAGTGAAATCTGAATAGGCTATGGTAAACAGTCTGGTTTACAGAATAACTAATCTCATGTCATGGACCTTACAAGTCATGCACAGTATGATGGCTCAATTAATGGCACAAGAGAGTAATGGATCATAGTCAAATCCGGAGAATGACGAAAGGAATTCTCCATGATTCTGGTGCATTCCTGTGGGAAAGTATGCAGAAATTTTGCCAAAGATTGTGTTATAATTGAAAAACAAGCAAGGAGGTGCATACTCTTTAAAAAAAAAAAAAGCCAGTTTAGTCTAGATTTTTTTTCTTTTCCGAGTTGTAGCAACTGTATTTGCAGTAGTCTAAACTTGGTATTAGAAAAATGGGTTAAAAAAAGTCTTAGAAACAGGGTAAACTGCTTAAATTAACAGGTTTTATGTTCACATCAAAGTATCAGTAAATTTCTGCATGTATCTTGTCTTGCAGGAAGATAGGTTATGAAGACCGGTCTCAAACTGTTCTGAAATGGTATGCATATAATGAGCTGTAGGGTTAAAATAAGTCTGTAGGAATTGAAAAGAAAGGGATTTTTTGTATATGTATTTTATGAATTGAAACAGTTAAATCCCGTGGTAGAAAAATACAATCAAACTTGGGTCTTTATTGATGAACTTGTCTCTTAAATCATAGGGCTGTATTTGGAATTATTAATTTTTCTACCTCTTTAAAGAACCAAGAAATAATAGTGATTTCTAGGGATATCGACAAGCTATTGCAGCAGTAAAATTGAATTTAATAAAATGTTTTTAAACATGCATTAATCCCTTTAAAAAGCTAGTGATCTGCTTAAGATATTTCTGTAGGAGACTTGTGTATAAATGCTTTTAATTTTGTTCCTCAGACTTTTTCTTATTTGTGATTGTACTTCACAGTCCTACAGTCTCCCTCAGGTAACTGTTGCAGTCACTGCAGGAATGTCTCCTTCTGAAAATCAGATACGTTCACCTTCTTTGCAGGCAGCATAGCAGTCATTTTTCCGCATGGGATAATCCTCCTGGAACAGATGGTGAAAGTGAGGCTTCCTTTGTGCACAGCCTGTCTCCACTTAATACTCTAGGATGGTTAATCTATATGTTTCTGGTTAAGTTTTGGCATATGTGGGACAGCACAGTCAATCATGCTGTGCTTGTTAATCAAAACAGTAAGATTTGATATCCACACACACCCCTGCCAAAAAAACCCCAACACATAATTGTCTCAGAAGTTCAGAAGTTTTGAAACAAACTTCAATATAGTCCAGAACAGCTACCTTAACTTCGAATCAAAGTGAAGGGGATAGTAGGAGTAATTTTAATAAGAAACTGTTAGTTATACTTAAGTAAAGATTTATTTAGATAGGTTTTTTTGTTGTTTGGTTTTTTTAAGAGAGCATTCTCTGTGTAAGTTCTTGTAAAGATTCCCTGTATTTGGTGCATGTGTTACCTGTGCAGACAACTCCTCTTAAGGATACAAACACCTTGAGACTTAAATACAGTAACAGTCCTCTGTGGTACTAGTGCATGATCTTGTCATAAGGGATTACTGTGTGTTTGGGATCCGTAGGACCAGTGATATATTCCACAAAAATATTTGAGATGATTGAATTGGCACCAGCTGATTTAAGCACATTGCTGCATTATGGTAAGAAAAGAGTACCAGTTGAAGTTTTAAGTCAAGATGAGAATTATGATTAAAACTGAGAGTTTTATTCTGAATCAGTAAGTTTTGTGTAAAATATTGGAAAAATATATTACTCCTAGGGGCTTTTTAGTGTCGAAGAATCTATGTATAGATTTGCAGCCTCGGTGGTTTCTGACTGATTTTTCTATCTTGGATGTTATGCTTTCTTTCTATCACTAATATTAACCCTGGAAAAAAATGTCAAAACTTTTGCTCTTGAGTATTGGGGTGATTTTCCAGTTATCAGTTTTGTTTTGGTGATTGAGGCTACTGATATCAACCAACTAGTGCCACCTAAAGTTATTGTACTTTTTTCATTGTAACTGACTTGTCACTGTAGATATGCTAGCCTGTTGCATACCTAGAGATTATGCTACAGCTACTTACAGGTCTGGTTTTATTTTTCAGGCTTACAAAAAGTTGTGAATTGTGTAACAGCAAAGGATAGTGCTCTGTACCAAAGCTTATCACACTCAGCCCACAGAATTGTTAGTTGGATTATTTTAAAACTACATAAAACATGTATTTTTGTTATGCTTTAAGTGATATTTAGCTGCATTGCTAAAAGTAACCAGATGCTCTATAAAACTAGACAATAAATAGCTATAAAGCCAAAGACCTCATTATTCTCTTTGAGTGTTCTTTCCATCCCATCAGGTTCCTTGCTGAAATTAAGTGATAGCAGTCACCCTTCTCCTTAGCGCTCAGTTTATCAGATCTTTCTATATTCTTAAGCATTAATGCAGTTTCAACAGTAATGGGGTGTTGCATTTCCTTCCTCTTGACCTTCTTTTTCAAGAAAAGGAAAAAAGTGTTAATCTCTTAGATTTATCCTTCTATAAAGCTTGCTTTCTTACTGGTTCTTAAGACCTATTTCTACATAAATGTGTATCAAAAACTGTTCTGTTTATTTACACTATGGGCTGCCTACTGTTGTCAGGGTTAGACTCCACATGGGAGAGTATTTAAAACATACTTATTACATTGTATTGCTAGTCATAGTACAGATAATTTCTTTTCTTAGTGAAAAGAGCTTTTTGAAATGCAACCTTTGCTTTACTGAGTCTGCACTTTAAAACTTGCTGATCCCTGACTTTGGTACTATATTGCTAAATAAAAACAAATTTTCAATATTTATGCAAAATTTCTTTCATAATACCCGCTTTTATTTGCTAAATAAAAATTTATTTTACAGCTAGAATGAGCAAGACTATTTCACTTTGACTCTAGGAGACTTCATGTGAGATGTCTAGGTTTCTGAGCTACATAGGTATAGATGTGATACTGGTACACTGAATCTGTCTTCTAAAAAAAAAATCTATAGTGATTCCACACTGCATAGGGAACAAGATTAAATTTCACTAAGAAATACTAAACTTAGTTAATCTGTAGTTTACAGATATCCGGATCTTCTACTGCTTTAAGTTGGAAAAGTTATTACTAGAGACTCTACACTCATGTGGTGTAGTAATTTTCCTCTGTCTGTTGTTTAATCTCTGGATTCTCCCAATCATATTGCTGGAAACTGTCTTGGTTTTCTGTATAATCTCATGAAATGTGAAGATCTGATCTGTGTATAATCAATTAGGCAAAGCTAGCTTACATCTTTTTTTTATGTGATTTGCTCTTCACCTAGTAATTTACTGCCTAAGCTTTCACTGCTATTTAGGGTTCCTTACTACTCACGCACCTGGGTTTCCTCACGGAGGAAATCTCTATGTACCTGGGAAGCTGGGGTGAGTGTAAGCCCTGCTTACAGACAAAATCTCTGAGTGTGTCCACTCAAAAGATGGTATTGTACAGCCCATCAGCTTTCACATATTCAGGTCCTGCTTTCAGTTTTTCTGGAGTAATGTCTTTACCATAAGTATTAAGCAAATCTACCTTCTCAGAAATATCAAAGTTCCATACTTCAAGCAGGTAATACTTCCTTCTGCACCTTTTGGGTAGTAGAGAAATACTTTGGGTTTTCATTGTTTATTGATATTTTCATGCTATAACTAAAATTCCCTCACACATCACCTAATGATTTCATAATGTGTCCATGTACTAATAGAGATACTGGAAACAAAAATGGCACCAATCTTTTCTTACTAGTTAATCTATTTGCCTTATTTGTACTCTCTGCTTCATTGTTTACTCTTCTCTTACCTTAAGGCAGTGACTAGATTTCATTTAGTCAGCTTTTTTTCTGCTGTAAGATTTTATGTGGCATGGCTTAATCATTCTGTTCCTAGTTTTATGAATATAAAGATGTTTCTATATTCATGGAAAGATTTATTAGTAGATTCCTACACTTGCCTGTACCTCAGTACTGCCATTGAAACATTAGAATGCTTATTCAAGCTAATATTTTGGTTTTTTATAGTGTTCCCCAAGTGATTTTACAGATTTAACTGATGAGGAAATTAATGTAAAGGGATTTCTTCCAAACCTGCTGAAGCAGAACTGTTTCAAAGAAGAATCTTTGTATTAGCAGCTGCTAAAATGATCATTATTCCTCATCATTTCCAAAACATCTTATCATTACTTCAATTCTTGTTTTACTTAGGTTCTCAGCCCATGCTTGCCTCTTGTGCATATCCACATAGATATCTCAAAATGCCATTCCTAATAATCCCATGAAGTAGATAGGGTTGTTGGTTTTTTTGTATGGACAGTGTATTTTTCCTGATAAAAAAGATTTTGGTTAGAAAGCTCAAATAAATGCTTGCAGTTATTCTGTGCATGTTATCCATTGAAAAAAATGTTAATATTACACTGAGGAGGATTTTGTTCCCCTTAAAAAATACTGTCTTCATTGTAGTGACATGTTTATGGATAACGTATATCTGAAAGAAGTACTTATGAACCAAAAACTTACCATGGGTAAATTAAGATGTACTAAAAGCAGTATGATTTAATTAGTACTTTCTCTAATTTCCTTTTGCTGTCTAATGTCATTGAGGAAGGAGTAAGGATAAAACAATGCTAAGATACTCAACTTACAATGTTCTGTTTCTTCTCTTTTCTTGCATAGGCTATCCACTCTGTGGCTTGGCATCATGAAGGAAAACAATTTATTTGTAGCCATTCAGATGGTACCTTGACCATATGGAATGTAAAATCTCCTACCAAACCTTTCCAGACAATCACTCCACATGGTAAGATGAAAATGGATACCCACTGTGTTTGACAGCTCTTAAAACAGAGAGAGCTTATTTTTAATAGAAGTGTGTTTTGCAAAACCAAGTATTAAAAATACACTTGCAGTGCAAGTAAAAAAACTTTCTCTGTCATACTAAATTCTGATTGATTTCATTAAAAAAAGTCTTTATGAAATAAGAATCCAAATCACTGCAGTTCTGTCTAAATCTCTGAACTTTAAGCTCGCCTTTCACACAATGGCATTGAACTCAAAATTAACTAATGTATATTTTGCAGGGCTTGCTTTTTGCTTGACATTACAGTCCCATATGTTGTTTAAAATACATATAAGCAAGCATCTGTTTCATGTATAAATGTGTAGATTACCATATAAATTCTTGGAAAGATTTGTAACAGAGTAAGACTAGCATCTGGTAAGATGTTCCCACTTCTCCACTTCTCAGAAGACTTGCATTAATGTTAATCTAGGAAATTAACATTGCATGTTGTTCTTCTGTGAAATATGCTGCTGCTCTTCAAAAAAAAGTTCTATACAAATGCCAGGTTTGCATGGTGTGTATGTGTCTAAGTCATGTCTTAGGAACTTATTTACCTCAGATACTTAAGTGTGAATGTAATAGGATAATCTGTGAGGTTATGTTGTAATTGTAGTACAAGATGGTGTAGTTGAGCATCCTGGTTTGCCTCTCTGAGCCTCTAGCAAGTCCAGAGGCTCACATTTCTATTAATGTTCAGGTAGAAAAAATGCATATTTACACCGTACTCTTAATTTCTACTGACTCCATGGGCAATTGTATCTGTAGAAGCTTTAGTTGCTAATAGTCCACAGCTGAGAGAGCAGGCCTTCATGTTCAAATTCAGGTCTTAGCCTTTAAGGATACCACTCAGAATAAACCTCTTTTTACTTGTAAGCTGACCAATTTTGATTGCAAAATGGTAGACATGAGATAATTTTAAATCTTAGTGCTACTTATAATCCTCCCCTAAAAAAGTTGTTTTGGTTTTGAAAACAAATATTCTACAATGCTTCAAAAAAACCCCCAACAAACAAAAAACCGAAAAACCCAAACCCGGACAAACAAAAAAACCCCACCAATGAAAAAAAACCCTAGACCTAAATATTCTAGGTTGTTGTATTGAGTTTTAACAAATCTTTAATGGTATTATTCCAAGGCATACTCCATAATTGTCGGAGGTATTGAATATATGTTTGTATGAATGTCCTACTCTGCAAGTTGCATAATGAATTTCATAATTTGTCATGATGTTATGGAACTGTAAGACTAATATAAGAAAATAATTTACTTTAGGAAAGCAGCTGAAGGATGGAAAGAAGCCAGAACCCTGCAAACCTATTCTTAAGGTGGAATATAAAACAACTAGAGCTGGGTAAGACTTGTTTTGTATGCAAAATTAACATATGTAAAATAAATGCAGCTCTCTGGGAAGGTACTTTGTTTTCCAGTTGTTGGGATACATATCTTGATGGTGCTAAGCTATGGTAAAACAGCTGAAATAGTTTTGGTAAATCAGGTAAATTGCTGAATAAACTACAAAAACATGTGTGAACAAACTACTATATACAAACCTTAACTTAGGTAAAGATACTGCTAACGCATTATCTATATGCTTCTTCCATGCTACTAAACTCATGTATTTTTGCTCAATCTCTTGAGAATATTAAAGAAAAAAAGGCTGCTGAAGCACAGAAGACACTAAAGCACAGACCTGAAAAACTGAACTTTGACAAATAGTAGCCTGATGCAAATATTCTAAATTCTGAATATGTGTTCCTCCCCTAAAAATATTACTGACAGAAGCTTTTCTGGTAGAGTGCTGTAATTTATGCAGTGAATTGTGCCTAATTATGCACATTGAGAATGTAACGAAGCAGTAATTGCAACAAGAGGCTCAGATGGAGTTGCAGTGTCTTGAGTAGCATGTTTTGTTACCAACACTGCCATTAGGATTGAAGGATTTCATGAACTGTGTGGAATTTTTTATTTATGGTTCTGAAGTGGTTTAAAGAGTTTGAGTAAAAAGTGCGATATAAAGATAAAATATAAATGAAACCTGCTCAGCTATTTGTAAAGGTTGATTTTTTTTTATTTTTTAAATTTTCTTTTACTTGGGGGGATTTATGTATTGTTTTAATTTGCTTTCCAGACATTCAAATCTATAGAAGATTGTTACTTGATGTAATGTAGTTTTCTACTATATGTTAGTATACCCATACATACAGTATCAGTAGCTTTGTGTATTTTTATTGTTTGCTAATATGAGGTAAAGAGAAATTTAAGACTGTGGCTAACTCCCAGATGTATGAACATCTATGATCAATTGGAAAGCCATATTTTACTTGTAGCAGTCTACATCTGCCTGCATATTCTTTTCCAACTGAAATGTCAAAAGCTGATCTAAAGAAAGATACAGATAAGCAAAAGTAGTCTCAGCTTCAGCAAGTTACAATTTCTGCAATCAAAAGCCTTCTGTTATGAATAGTCATTCTGAAGGAAAAGATTAGTTTGAAGCTTGTTCTATGTAATTATAATATTACAATGTGAAAACTAGTTGACTTTTCACACAGTTTAAAGAGGAGCTTATTCTAGTATAATTTCTAAGAATACATAGCTCTTTGGGTAGACTACTTTTTCCTAGTGTGGGCTTTTGTTACACCTCTCATTTTCCAGTGTTCATCCAAACTGAATGTTTTGATGCATTTCGGTTTAGTATTTTCTCTCTAATATTTTCTTCATCTTCAGTGCACTTATAAATCTGTAACTGTTGTGATACTCTTCCAGAACTTCAATTAAAAAGAAAAAAAAAAAACAAACCAAAAACCCCCACAAAAACCGCAATCTGCACTGGTGGTGAAGCAGTGCACTGAAAATCTCCATTTGTTAACTTCTGCATGTACTTCAGTTCATACTTGAATTTTCGGTATCAATTGTAGTCTTACAAGAATTTTAAGGCAAGGCAGAACTACCTTTCAATGCTTAAAATTTTGAGTTTTTCTCTTTACCAATTGAAATTGGTTAGGTATGAACATGATACAATTTTGACTTTTAGGTAAAGCACTATCATTTGTTGTTTATGGTTTAATTTCTGTAGTGCAGAGGAGAATAATTTCTGCACAGGACCAAATTTTTTCTAGCTACTGAAAGAATATAAGAAACAAATCAAAATTGCTTCTGTAACAGTCTGCTCTAACAGTTCTTCAAAAACAAACCAAAAAAAAACCCACAAAAGAAAAGAAAACAAAAAAGCTTACAACATCTTTAAGAGGTATTGTTTAATGTATATTTAAGTTATTTCACCTAACTTCTTTATTGTGAAAAACAGTGAGTAACCATTCCATGTTCACATTTTCCGTGCTCTGTATGGAACTCTTAACATCTTTGTCACCTCTTCTTTCTTGCTCCTTCCTTATCCAGAGTGGTCTAGGATCTAGATTTGTTTCAATATCTCCTCATGCAGAAAACAATTCATTGATGTGATCTTACTTGTTTTCTTTTCTGGTTCTAATTCTAATAAACTGTTTTTTTGAGAAAAGGTGTCCAGAACCACACAGAAGGAAGGAACATAACTGATTGCAACCTGTAGTAGGGGCTACAGACACTATTCTTTCTACTTTTGCAGCTCTTATTAATCCTTTCTCACTTTTTTCCTCTATTAAGTTCTCCATATTATGAAGCTGGAGTCGGGGGAAACAGGACAGTGTGAGCCTTTTTCTGGTTCTTACAGACTACCTATTTATCTTTGCAGTCTGTGGTTTATCTGTTGCTGGGGTTTTTTTGTTTTTAAGTCTACTGCAGATAGTGCCTGTGAAGTCTCCAAAGCCAAAGTTGTTTACCCTACAGCAGTAGTATGTCTGTACCTTTACTTCTGGCTATTTAATATTGGCAGTCCTGTACGTGGGCTATGGAGTAGAAAAGGCAAGTTCTTGATATATTCCTTGAGCAAACTGGCATAATTTTTCAATCCCACAGCATAATGTCATTATTCCCCAGCCATTTAAGTTCATCTAAAATACTCTATCCCTTTTTGAAGCAGTGAGTTCCAAAGGTAGTTTACCTTTTGAGCTTCCTGATATGGTTTCCATGTTGCCTTTTATGCATACTTTTCTGTCTAAAGTGAAATTAGAGAAGCTCTTGAGCTTCCTAATGCCATTTTCCGCTCCTCCAGATTCAGTCCCTTACAGTATTTACTCTGTTTGATGTTAGCATTATGGTAAAATTGCCCAAGCTTATTCTTTGCTACTAGAGCTCTGTGTATAAATTAGAGTTCAAAAGTGTCCCTGTAAAACAAAAAAACAATACAAAACAAAAAAAAAGTATTGGTAGCTAATGCAGCTGTCATTGACTAACTGCAGACAGTACCTCTTAGCAAGATGGATGTATATAATTGGGAACCAGGGGTTACAATAATAATAACAACAACAAGGTCTCCAGATAAGTAAAAGTTCTTGATCTGTTAATTTAGTTTGAACAGCACTATTTTTTTGTGTGAGCTTGTTGGTTCAAAAGCACAATTCCCAAAATGAATTTGTAATTTATCTTTGCTACTACTTCAAGATTTCTAGTCTTAAGCTAAACTAACTCTTGAAGTCTTTTCTACTTTTACTACTAGGGATTAACTTGACAAATTCACCCATGGTTTGAAAAGTAAGCCAACTGGTACCAATGGCCTGGCTTCTGTATATACTGTTCTGTCTCACATCCAGATTGCTAGAAACTGCCCAACATTTGACAGTTTACTTTTAAAATTGAGCAGAAACCTCCTCCAGGCTTGTGAGCCAGTCAGCTCTCAGTTGTATTATGTTTTCATATGCTGCAAGACCTAATACTGTGTTTTCTGAAATTCTTTTCAATGAAACATTGCCTCCCATGTAGTGAATTTTTTTATAGTGTTCTCCAAGTGATTTTACAGATTTAACTGATGAGGAAATTAATGTAAAGGGATTGCTTCCAAGCCTGCTGAAGCAGAACTGTTTCAAAGAAGAATCTCTGTATTAGCAGCTGCTAAAAATGCTATATATGAGTTCTCTAATAGCTGAGCACTGCTTTTTGTTAAATGTTTTCTACTGTTTCACATAGGTCAAATGTAACTATCAAAGTTGGAGCAATCTCATCTATTATGTACAGTACCGTTTTTTTTATTCTAAATTATGTCTTTCTATTTAACATTCATGTGCACTAACCTTTTAATATGTATCACAACTGAAGGACAACACTAAATATTTAATTAGAAAACACACAGCTTGTGTTCGTGGTAAATCCATGGTTTCATAAAAATATTAAAAGTTCATACACAAACCTGTATTAGTCTTTCTGGCAGACTAAAGTCAACTTTAATCCTTGATTCATCTGTGAAAAATCCGTGTGACAGATCAGTGTGATCTGTTTTTAGCTCTTCCATTCTTTGTTTCATAAGGATACAGACTCTGGCAAGCCTGCCCAAAGCAATGTGATTACCTTGAGAAATAAAACCAGGAGAAACCAGCATGCAGTTTTCACTGTGATGTGTGAAACTTAGAAACTGAAATTTGTCACTTTGTTGTCAGTTGATCTTGGTGAACCTGCAAATCTAATAATTACTACAAATTGTCCTGGCAGCATTATTGTTTAAAAAATAGACAAAAGTAGACAAAAAATATTACAATAAATCATTCCAGCACAATGAGATACTGCAAGTATATCACACCAGTATTTTTTTTCTTCATTGACATCCTGAAAAATAGCAGCTTTAATTTAAGTTTGTCCTTTTCCTGAATTTACTTCATGGACCTGACCATAAAAGATTGTCTGAAGTTCCAGTATGAAGAATTGAGATTAAATGAAAACTTGGAGAAAACTTACTTCTTTTCTAGAAATAAACTTTGGGCTACTGTTGGAGGCAGGATATTGAACTTGGTGGATCCATGGTCTAATTTATGGCCATTCCTTTGAGGTCTCTTCCTCAGCCAGCAGAACTCTTTGATGCTATCAACTCTTCAGTCATAGGGCTTTCTGAAGGATCAGGCAGATTGTGCAATAACTGTAGAAATTGAAAGCTTATCTCGGTCTGCTTTGCCTTTAATGCTACAAACACAGAGCACATTTCAGCCAAGCCTTAAACTCATGAAGGGCAGCATGTGCATAAACTAAACCCTTCATACACAGTTTTCAAGAAGAAAGATGTACCTAATCTGTCACTTTGTGTTTCAAATGCTAACTAGTGAAGGCCGTTTAGACAGTATGGGAAATACGGTGTTATAGAAAAAGACAAAAAATAAAAGATCTCTTCAGCCTCTTTTTCACAACGTGTCAGGATGGTTTGGGTTTTTTTCCCCCCCTACAAATTTTTTCCAGATACTGACATAGTAGCTGCTTCCAAGGTAGACATAAACAAAGGGGTAGGATTCTTACCTAAGTAAGCATAAAAGTAGATCAGAGGAATTTCACGCTCTTAAGTGCCTATTTTTCCTCCAGAAATATAACCTGGAATTTGAGGCAATAGTCAATAATAGGTGGAATTTCTTGAGCTGTGTACTTATAAACAGTCTGCTCTTTAAAAGGTATTATGCCCTATTTTAAACATAAACAGTATTAAAATGAGTGATGACGTTTGATAATCAGGAAAGAAGAAAATACCTAGCAAAACAAATATATTCATCTTGTTTTTCAATAAATTAAATACTAAACCACATATTCTGTACATATTAGAGCAAATGTGGATGTGTTTAAAAGTATGTTTCTGTAAAGACTTTAAAAAAATTTTAAGGGAAGCCTCTAACCTTTTTTCAAGACTAGAAGAAATATTTTTGCTTTGCTATACTCAGCCATTTAATTATGCAGGAGGAGTAGTCTATGGCAGAGTAGTTCCTTGAATTTTGTGTGTGGTGTTGGGGGCAGGGGGAATGTATAAAATGTCTAAAGTAAGTGTGTAATGAGACAGCTATGGGCATTTATTTATGTCTTTGCTTCTTAAAAGACGTTAGGTCTTCGGAGCTTATCAAGCAGCCAGTTGCTTTTCCAAGACAGTCATATTATTGTGATGGCAAAATTACTTTACACTGTTTACAAAAATGTTGGTCCTTCAAAATTTAGGATGATTCTGTACAGGAAGAAAATGGGACTATTTCTTCCTGATCCTGCTAGAATATTTTATAGTATGGATAAATGGGGCTGTTGGCAAATCTGAATCTGCAGTTCAGTAGAAAAGAAACAATTCTAAAGTTTAACTAAATTAAAAAAAAAAATCTTGTCTTTGGAAGCAGTTGCAAAGATTGGTTAAATAAGCAATATAGAACAAAAGGTCTGACGAATTATAGTCTTCTAACTCTCGGGTTTTAGGTTTTGAAACACATACCCAAGCTACAAATTGCATGGAGAGCTGGTTTGCATTATCCTTAATGTATCGCTGCTTAATGATATCTCATTGAACCTTATAATAAGGTTACAAAATTCACCCAGTCTCTTTTAATGTATTATCTTGGTGTGATCCTAAATGCCTCTGCTTTATTCCAGGGAGCCTTTCATCATTCTCTCAGGAGGCTTGTCATATGACACTGTAGGAAGACGACCGTGTTTAACAGTTATGCATGGAAAAAGTACTGCTGTGCTAGAAATGGATTATTCTATTGTTGATTTTCTAACCCTCTGTGAAACACCATATCCTAATGGTAGGCTTTGGAAAGATTTTTCTCAGTACCTTGACCTCTTCTCTTTGGAGTTTTATCCCATCAGAATATTCTTTACTATTGCCTTTCTGTTTTATCTCTGGGGATCAGACTGCAGCAGCAACATCTGTTATCCCCATTGTCTGAAGTATGTTTTATTCCCGAAGCATCATAATACAATAGTTTATTATAAAACCTATTTTGCTTCTAGAAGAATGCCAATTACTGGTTCCATGGTTTTTCCTTTTTTTTAATCCCGAAAGCACATGCAGACAAAAAGTAGCATTACAATTTTAAGCTGTAGTTACTGCAGCAGATGTGTTCATTAATATTTATTTAAGCACATAAGACCTTTCCAGTCAATGCTAAATCTTGATTAGCATTTGTGCAGTACTCTTAACTTTTAGTGACTTTATTCATTCCAGTACTCACATGAAGTTCATGACTAACCTGTAATCTCTCTTCTGTAGAAGGGGATTTTTTTTATCACAGTTTAGGTAGTTGTCCCAGTTTAATAGTGCCGATGACTTCAATGTTTTTAGCTGTCAACTTCCAGCAGAGTATATAAAACTGCTTAGCTCAGAATTGAGGTCTGCCTGAAAAAGGGAAAGATAAACTTTGGAAACTCCTTCAATTTTCTTATTTTAGTGTCAAGTCAGCTGTCTTTCAATCCATTTTGTAAGCAATTAGAATTTAAACCCCACTGAATAAGAGGAAAAGCAGTTTGGGGGGGGAGGATGTTATTGTTCAGTAATTGGCTCTTTCTCAAGAATACTGCTTATACAAGTTCCTCTGCAAGTTCCTTTTCCTGTTATTTGAGCTATTCAAATGGTTCTAGCAAACTGGAAGAGAGTTGAGAACATTGAATTAAAGGGAGAATATGGCTTCTCCAGACTTAACTTGGAGTATTCAGGGGAGTGAGTGTATAAAATATCTCCGGAAACTATAGACATCTAAGTGGGTTTTCTACTCCTGAGTGATAGAGTGCAAGGCCTGCTCACATTCTTGGGGCTGTGCATACAAGAACTACATTTACCAATAAGTAACTTTTTTCTTTCTTGTTTTCAGACTTTCAGGAACCATACGCTGTAGTTGTTCTCCTAGAAAAGGACTTAGTACTGATTGACCTTGCACAAAATGGGTAAGAATCTTGTGTAGTCTTTTTAATGGTTGCCTGCAGTGATCAGCCTGTTGTTCTCTGTTGTTCTGCTCTATAGCTTTTTAATCTACTGTAATACCTCCCTGTCCAGAACATAAAATTTTGAATATTAAATATAAGGTTTCTTCAGCAGAACTAAGTATCTTTATAGATCAACTTTTCTCAGGTTAATATGTAGTAGATGAGTAGAATATTATGTGACTTTTTCCAGGTTTGATTGACTGACAGAAATTACTGATCACTGCTGCTTTTTAATTATCACAGTTTATTTTGAAGCTGATTCTTTAGTGCTATGGGGGAGCTCAGAATTTTGGGGAAGGGAGCAGGGGGAACAACTATTCAGATAAGGCAGGTAATTTTGGCTGACACTGAGTGTTGTTGTTACCACATAAATACTTGCTGATTTTATTGCCAAATGCATTGCTATCTGTTTTGCTTAAAGTAACTCAATACTGATGCAATAAATATCATATATGTAAAATGAGAATGGTAACATCTACTTCCTGGTTTACTACTGTGGTAAGAGGTTGCTTAAAATTAGTATCCTATTACAGTTTTCACAACTAATACTTGTCTAACCCATTTTGAGTCTCCTGTTACTTTGTCCATGGAACAGTCCTTATAATCTATTAAGTGGTGATTAAAAATTCTGGATCCTACAAATTTTTCTATCAAGGATTTTGAAATTAGTATAGGCAGTAAAAACTAACTATTAAGGGATTAGTAGCAGAGGAACCAGACATATAAGATCTTTGTAGTGTTCCTGATTAAAAGTCACCAGTGGTCAATGAATTAAAAAAATCCTTGCGAAGAACATCCTTCTAGGGCAAACCAAAAACCTGTAAATATGTATCCTCAGAGTCAATGGTTATACCTTAGCTAATGAAGACTCTATTGAATTTGGAAGAAGGTCAAGTTTAGTCCTAATATCTCTGCAGCTACTGAACAATTTCATTTAGTTTTTCCCAATCTTACATGGCCATATGCTGTATCCAAAATTTGTTTCTGATATACCAAGGGCATTAAGCTTCCAACATTCATATGTTGAAAGATGAATAAAACAAGTTTTAATGAGCTTGAAATAAAACGGTTTGTACAAGGCTTTTTTTCTTAAGTGAAAGTTTGCAGTGCCTGAAATTTGAAGTCATGTTAAGGCTTGTTCCATTTAATTTTAAAAAATCTTCAGCAGCTATGTTTTTAGAAGACTTACGATGGTCTTTTTTACAAATGACTTGCAAAGTATTAATTGTTTCACACCTGAAAAGCAATTAATAGTTTTTTTGCTACAGGAGGTTTCCTTTTGCCCTGTGTCATATGGATTTATCATGTTTTGTTAAAATTAAGCCTCTTTTCCATTTGATTTTTAGAATATTGTTTTAGCTTTCCAGATAGGTCTGTATAAAGTTATTGATATGCAGAATATTTTCATCTGTTGATAATTTTTCCTTTAGATGAGTTAAGAGGCTGTGTCCCTTTTGGCCCCTCTCAAAAAAAAAAAAAAAAAAAAAAAAAGGCAGGGAGGAAACGTATGGATAGTATGCATTTCTCTGGAGATAAATGTTCTTGGAACACAGATGTATTTACCTCTTATTATTATTGGCTTTTTTCCCTCATTAAGGCTCTGTGACTTTTCTGATGGAGGTGATGGTGGGGAGTATATATATGTGTGTGTGTGTTTGCTTCTAATTGGTAATGGAGTGTTGCTATCTATAGCTTTCAGAAAGTGATCTTGGAGTTGCAAGTAGGTTATGAAAAGTGCTGGAAGACTTTGTCCAAGAACAGTATAATAATACAAAGTGGGAAGTGGAGTCTTCCCATCTTTCTCCCTGGAGGAATAGACTGAAGAGTTAGAAATAAATTCGTAGCTCCACATTACTACAACTAGGACTTGGTAACTTCAGTTTTTCACAGGCAATTAAAATAGTAAGCTCTTAAAAATAGGAAACTATAGGGAATAGCGGTGTTCTAGAAATATTCTAGAAACAGTAAAAACTTTAGGTTCTGTCTAGAGTACTACACTACCTTGATAGCATACTGGATGAGCAGTAAAGCTGCATAGTATATTTGTTCATAATCTAATTTGATATGCATTTATTTTCCTCTAAATGAAAAGAACGCAAACTTAGTCTTTAGTGTTTTACTTGTGTTCCTCATTAAAAAAAAAAGTTTTTCTTAGATTAACAGTCATCCCCTTTCATCCATTAAAGGTACCCTATATTTGAGAATCCCTATCCTTTGACTATACACGAATCTCCGGTTACCTGTTGTGAATATTTTGCCGATTGTCCTGTGGACCTCATACCTGCACTCTATTCAGTTGGCGCTCGACAGAAACGTCAAGGTTACAGTAAGAAGGTACAACATCTACTACATACGTATGTATTTGAAAATACTGAAAATCAACAGCTCTAAACAACATAAGAGTGGCCATACTAAGACCAAAGATCTAGCTGACTTGTTATCCTGTCTTTGACAGTGGCTAATAGCAGATGTCTAGGGAGGATATAGCATATGTCAAGCCTATAGTCATGCTTTCCTGATGTGCTCCCATTGATTGCCGTATCACTGGAAGCTAAGGGACTTCCTGGAGCAGGGATGTTGTTTATAGCCCTTGATTATTTTTTTTCTCTGCAGTCGATATGTCTAATCACTTTTTGAAGATGTGAAATAATGGAATCTGCAGTATCTGCAGTAATTTCAATGGCTTAACTTTGCACTGTATGATATTTTCTTCCTCAGTGTATTTGTTAATCTTCCAGGAATGGCCTATCAGTGGAGGCAACTGGGGTTTGATCACTCAGAGTTATCCAGAGATAATTATTACAGGGTAAGTGACACCACAGTGTAGTAATAACTTTCTTAGCTGATTAAGTAGAAGTGAGAATATTTTGCGCCTCTTGTAGAAAACAATGTTCCAAGAGTGGTTTGAATGATTTAAAAAATTATGTTCACCAGACAAGTCATTTGCCTAATCTTCCTGAGGTGTTAAAAGGAAAGTAAAGCAAAATGTGGAGGAGAAGGTAGGAACAAAATGATAGCAGGTGTTTTACAGGGATTATTACTATGATGTGGTATTGCGATTATGTCTGCTTGCTATCAATATATGCTGGATGAAACTTACCTTTTATTCTTTAACTTTTGGAAAAGAGTTGAGTAGTGTTTTAAAGCACAGGAAGTCCATTAAATAGTTATTGAGTTCAGTTCTCAAAGGGAAGCCAATTTTTTTATTTCAAAAAGGACAACCAAATACTTAAATCTGTTTGTTTTGATCTCTTTTTGAGACTGATCCTTCTAATACTGCTCTAAGGAGCATAAACCAAATATAATTTGTAACCATGCAGTGCATCACTGAAAGTGAGAGCACTACTAAAGTTTTTTTTAGAACAGCCCGTTAACCGTAATGAGGATTACTGTCACTTTATGCTACACATTGGAGAAACGTTGAGAGACAGTCCTGAAAAAAAGTCTAGTCATCTGATTCTCAATTTCAAGGATAAATAAACAAGTTAGGTGACTCATTTACACTGAAATACAGTACATTTAGGCATCTCCTTTACAAGTGTAACTCCAAATAAATGGCAACTTTTAAGAAATAACACATGGCAAGGTATACCAAACTGCTTAATGGATATGCAGGTATCTGAAATCAGTATTTAAAATCGTAAATTAGTATTAGTACAGAGGAATTTCAGGGAGTTAGCCTCCAAAGGTTTTTTTAATCCCTTCTGTCCAAAGTAATTGGGGTGCATGTTTGCAAAATATCTGCTTCCAATAAATTGTGAAAATAAAGTGTCACTAAGAATACTAAAAAAACCATAATGCTAGCCATATATTTTCTAATCGGTAGCAAAGAGGTCTAACACTCCAACTAACCATTTTACCATCTTATTAATTTTTTAATATTTCATAGGCATGCTGATGGGTCAATCAAGTTTTGGGATGCCTCAGCAAGTAAGTGTTTTCAGTAGAGATTTTTTTCCTGTGCAGTAGGAGTTTTCTAAACTTACTGATTTCTCTAATGGAATGTAATTGCAGATTAGTTATTCTCATTATTTCCTGCCTCATGTAAAGTCAGTAACTCCATAGGAAACTGATTTAAAATTAAATAAAGTTCACATTATTTCTTAGTTAAGTGTTTCACTGTTTTTACCACCTCGGTGAAAATGCACTGGTAGTCCAAGGACCTGCTAGAATGGAAGAGTTCTAAAATTTTTTAGAAGCACCTTCAGAAGCACATTATTGAGCATTGAGATGCATGATGGGCAAATGCATTCCTTTTTAGTACAATTGAATTTCAGTAAGTTATTTCTGTCTTTTTAGACAGGAGAGAGGCATGTGTTTATAAGATATCAGCTCCCCATAAATTACAGTATCCAAAAATGAGAATTGGAACCAGTAGTAGTTCGTGCTAATAAAATGATCTAGGCATTTGTGAAGAAAGGCAGAACAGTAAAGACAAAACACTTTTCTTTGGTGGAACACTGAACAGGTCTGAAGAGTCTGATACCGTTTTACATTTCAGTTAAAGAGTCAGTTGCATCTGATGGTCTACACAGCTAACAGTGAGAAATGCAGTAAGAATTCAAATTAGAATGGACTGCAGAGAGTTAGATGTTTTAATTAATCTAGTTCTGACTAACCTTACTCTTGGTACTTAAAAGCTGTCTGAAGCAATCTTGGAATCATTATCAGTTGTCTTTGAAAACTTGTGGAAGACTGGTGAGATTCCAAAATGCTAAGGCGCGTGTGGGTGTGGGAGGGAACAGATGCAATGTATATGTTTAAAAACTAGGAGGAGTATTATCTGGAGTGTTATAGATCTTTAATTTCACTTTAGGGTGGGGGTAGAACCTGGGGGGGGGGACAACAATCCTGATTGATTGTCTGCACTTAAAAATTCTATTCAGCATAGATCTGTCAAAAAGATCCTGTTAAAGGCACTTAGTTTCTTTCTAAAACAGATAAATAAACCTGTTAAGGGAGAAACTGCAAGTATCCTGTATCTTGATTTTAAAACTTTTAAATCTCAATAGCACAGTCTTACAGATGAGCTAGAGAAGTGTGATTCTGGTAAAAGCACTGAAATATGGAAGAGGAGAAAGGATGCTATAAATTAAGTTTTCCTAATGATATAATTGGTATTTGTAGCAGTGATTTGGGCCATTGACTAGAGAATATGTCTGTGATGTCTGAAAGCAACACCAAGGCAGTTGAAAGAAAATGTAAGAAAGAATTAGAATTGCAATTAAGAATGATCTTGCTAATCATTGAATAGCATCCAAGACAATTTATTTGAATATAGGATCAATGATTTACACTCAAAACTTGTTCTGGGGGAAAAAAAAAAATGGAGATCTAATGGATTGTAGTGTCAGTGTTGCACAAAAAAAATAATCATTGGGATAAATAAGTGGGAATATCTGTAAAACCAACATGGAGTAACTCTTTCACAATTTTAAACTGTGACAAGGCCTCACTAGAACAGTTCTAGGAAAACGCTATCAAGAAAAATATGGACTGATCAGAGGGCAGCGCTTTTGAATGATCAGACAGGACAAAATAAAAATTACAGGAACTGGGGCTGTTAAGTCTGAGAAGACAGGTGAGAGGCCACGGATTTGAAATACTGTAAGGAGAAAGGAAAGGAGCTTTACTTTCTCTGCCATAGATAAGCTTAAGTTGTGGGTATGGCACATGTAACTAGATGTTATTGTTATAAAGAGATGCTTAAGTATAGTTAAGCCTTGAGAAGCTGTGAGGGCTTAGTTTATAACTGAAGCTTAGTACATGTCTATCAGGAAAAGTGGTGCTGTAGGGGGGGTTTATTTTATACTAACTGATCCTGCATTAGGCAAGTGGTGCACTGCATGGGCAGAGTGAACACAGGTATTCAATGCTTCTATTCTGCCCTCTTTTGTTTAATATAGTGGCTTTATCTATGAAGGGAAGTTTCTAAATTAAAAAAAAAAAAAATTAACAAGAGAAAAATACCTGTTTAGATCAAAACTAATTTTTTTTTTCTTTTCTGGTTTGTTCCTAGTAACGCTGCAAGTGCTCTATAAGCTAAAAACAGCCAAAGTATTTGAAAAATCCCGGAATAAAGATGACAGGCCAAACACAGATATAGTAGATGAAGATCCATATGCTATTCAGATCATCTCATGGTGTCCAGAAAGTAGAATGCTGTGCATAGCTGGAGTTTCTGCACATGTCATTATTTACAGGTTCAGCAAGCAGGAAGTGACAACAGAAGTCATTCCGGTAACTAGTATAACCATTTCTTAACTTTGTAGGATTTAGCTATAAGAATACTGTTGTAGCAATTTACTACTTCATTGTCTTTCATTGTATTAGTGAAATGGACAAACACAATTGCCTCAAAGTGAGATGTATTTTTGTGGAGGAAAAATAATAAATTATGAAATTTGGCAAAAAGTGAAAATTGCACACCAAGATTTTGGTTTTCATTAGCTTTTTCAGCTTTTGCAGCCAATAATCATTCTTTGTTCTATTTATCAAAGCAAATAGTGAATCAAAACTTGGCTGTATCCAGGGTAAAAAGAAAACAAGTGCATGAGATGTCGAGTTGGAGAATTTTCAAAGCTTTTAGGGAGTTGATTCCTTTTTTTTCCTTGATTCATAGTAATTACCACTTGTCTTGGTAAAACTTCTGCAGTATGCAGAGCTGGAAGAGCAAAAGCATGCCGGACGTGCCCTAAGGTCTCTTAAGGACTTTGCAGTGTCACTGTTTTATTCTGTATAAGATACAATGATGAGTTCTATTACAAGAGTTTGAGAAGTCCTTTGTTAAATCAGACACACACATGCAACTTTATCTGAATGTATGAGCTGAAAGCTAACTTGAAGCCATTTAATTATAAAATGTTGTATGTTCCAAGTAAAGCATTAATCATAATGTAGTTGGGTCCCGTCCCCCGCCCCTTATTTTGCCCCCTTCAGATAAGTCTCAGTTGAAGGAGATGAAGCATATTTTTTTTCCTTCTGGTGTTTACTTATGTACAAGTACATTCCCTTATGAGGGAATAGGTTTTTCTAAATGATTTTTACAAATCAGCCCCTAGCAAACTATTCTTCAGTAGTAGGAATGCTTTAGAAACAATAGTGTGTGGTTCTTTTTTTCAGTCCATGAGTTAAGTTATACTTTCCAGATGATGAGAATAAAACAGTGGAAAACTTTACACTGCGCTACAATTAATCCTAATATTGTTATAGATCCAGCAGAAGGAAATCTGAAGTCACGATGAACTCCACAGTTCTTTAAAATGTATGGTTTAGTTCAATGCAGCATCAAACATTGAACTAAGTCCCATGTGTACAGTGCTACAATAGTATAAAGTGTAGCTGTTTGTATGCCTTCAGCTCATCTTAGGTTTAGCATTCCTGAACTACATAAAACAAGTCCTCTTCATAGCTGAGAATTTTATGTGCACAGAATGATAATTAAATGGGTCTCGTATCCAATATTTAATTTCTTTCCAACATTAAGCATCAAACTTTTAAACATTGGGAAATAGGTTAGATTGTCAAGTTTTAGCAATCTTCAGATATTCAGTCTGTAGTAGTTAGTATGACTCTGTATTTCCAAAGACTACATGTGTGTGTTTAGGTTGCAGTGTTTATTAAACTACTGGTATCTTTTAAAAGATGGAAAAGTCCTGGATGCCACTTTCATCACTAGTATCTTCCGTTGCGCTTCATTTATTTCATATATAGTTTTTTGAAAGGCAAAGTTTATTGATAATTTTTTTTACTTTAATTTACAGATGCTGGAGGTACGTCTGTTATATGAAATAAATGATGTTGAGTCTCCAGATGGCGAGCAGGTGCCACCTTTACCAACTCCAGGCACAGGTTCCAATCCTCAGTCCATTGTTCCCCAGTCTCATCCATCTACTAGTAGCAGTTCATCTGATGGACTTCGTGATAATGTCCCATGTTTAAAGTAAGTATATTCTGTTATACTTTTGTTGAGTGTAAAACTTTACAAGAAGATGTGACGAGAATATATGTACTTTGATATAATTACAGAAATGTCATTGTTGGCGAAAATGTTTTATTTCTTTGAGCAACGTTTTCCAAATATCTGAAAGTTGAGATCTGTTCTAAGAAATTGTTGCAATCTTAGTTTCTTTAAATTTCATAAGTTGATTTAAAAAAAAATAAAATCTGAAAACTCTTACCTTATGACTGCTGCCTGCTTTAGGAAACTTTGGCATAGATGGTAGTATAATTAGAGATGCTCATGCTTTAGAGCAAATATTTTCAATAGCAGCAACATATAGTTACTTTGAAATTTTCTTGTCCATTGAAATGAATAGGCAAATTAATGTTTTGTGGCTCTCCTTAACTTTAGGCCAATTATGTCTGAAGAGATTTTACCTGTTAGTTTTCCAGAGCCTTAGGTTTTTAGAGCCAGATCAAAAGCAATGAAAATACTTACAAATAACTTAACTTAAAGGTAACTTTATCTATGCTTATAAATTTTTTTTTTTCATAACTTTCCAAGGGAAGTACTTTGTATTTTGGAAACAGGAAACAGAATCGAATAGATGTCCCATTCTCATGGATCTTCATTTTGCATGATGCCTCGTAGTGCTCACAGTGTAGGTCTTTGACCAATTTTCAGATTTTTTTTTTTAAATTGGGAGTTTTTTCCTTAAGGTTCTTTGTGTGTGAACTTTTACTCATTTGAGAAATGAAAGCTAAAAGACAACAATTTTTTTTACTCTTCTACAAGAGTGCATTATGAGGCCTCTATACCATCACCTTTTCCTTACACAATATACATTGAACTTCATTTTCAGATATAAAATGAAGAAATGTATGTACTTTTTGTTTTCTGAAGCTTTAAGGTCCCAACTTGGATTTTAATTCTTTGAGTGCATCCATCTAGAAAATAACTAATTCTGATGAGGTTATTTTATCTGGGTGGGTGTTTTCATATATTACTGGTTGTACAGAGTTGCAGAAGTGTCTTTCTAAAGAAAACTGGACAGAGTAGAGAAATTGGAAAATTTTGAATTTTTGTAAAATATTGGCAAACCAAAATATGCATTAAAGAGAATGAATGAGTTAAAATAAGAGGAATTCAGGAAGCAGAGGAGCTTATATTCTGTGTAACTTTTTTCACCTTTAAAGACGAGAAAGACCTAATCCTTCCTGGAGGACATTCATAAGTTTGTTCATCAGCATGCAAACAGAATCTTTCCAGGAGCTTCAATTCCCCCATTCCCAGGTTCATTCCGTACAACTTGGCTACCTTTATAATAATTTACCTTGCTTTCACTTTTTTCTACCGTATCATCAGCTTTTTGTTTGCATTTGTCTCAGTACATTGTGCTTTTGTTTCCTTTTTCAGTACACTTCTTCCACATGCATCCCTCACCCCCTTCCATTCTCTAAATCAGAGTTCTTCTGGGAACTCTGAAAAGAATGGGTAACACCTTCCTTTTAGACACTGAATGCCTTTATCTGTTCAAGTCAATATAGCATGTTAACACTGTTATGCCTTGCTCTGAAGAGGGGAGAAATGAAGTATTTGTGGTCATTGCTCAATTAAGTATCAATTAGGTAATGAATAAAAAGAGCCCTTGAAGAAGTGAATGACCAGTTCCAATGTGTTTTTTTCTGGTTGCTTGTGTTGATTTTTTGCAATTTCCAACTTTCTGAACTCCAGTGTGGTGTAGAATTTAATGAATTCTGAGCCCATAAGGAAAAAATGGAGACTGTGGAGAGTCATAAAAAGAGTCATTTGCTTACTTTGCAGAGTTAAAAATTCTCCTCTCAAGCAGTCTCCAGGCTACCAAATTGAGCTAGTTATCCAGCTAGTATGGGTGAGTGGAGAACCTCCTCAACAGATAACCAGCTTAGCAGTCAACTCGGCATATGGCCTGTAAGTATATTTGACAAAGTTCTTTTCATTATTCTGTTAAAGAGGTTTAAAATTATCTATTAAAAATTAGGTCTCCATGTGTGTTCACATAAGCTGCACAGCAACACGAGAGGCAGTCAGTCTCCTGTGCTTAAAAGATAATTCCTTTTGGGTCATGGCAGATCCTGATGATGTTAACATCAGAAACGAATCAGTATCACTCTTCCTCACCTGGCACTTTATAGCCAAGAGTAAGTGTCATTTAAGGCACTGTCAGATAGATTGGCAAGTACAATGATGGTGATCTGTTCTACTCAGTGTCACATGTTTTTACAAGACAACAATTAAACAATACTGCATTCTAAAATAGTAATTTATAAATATGCGTAATTTAGTGTAATTCATAAAAATTAGAAGTCTTAAAATGCTGAACAGCAGCAAAGACCGATATAAAACTTTACCAATATTGATTAGCACTATCTTTCCTTCCACTTCTCTTTTTCCAGAGTAGTTTTTGGAAACTGTAATGGTATTGCGATGGTTGATTACCTCCAGAAGACAGTGCTCTTGAATCTAGGCACTATTGAACTGTATGGCTCCAATGATCCTTATCGCAGGGAGCCACGATCTCCCCGAAAAACTCGGCAACCGTCTGGAGGTGAGTAACCCAAAACTTGTTTTAACCAACTGTGCCTTTCTTCTGAGCTTATCTGGACTAATATTATATATTCTTTGAATACAAGCATACTTTTCTCCATTTTTTAGTTTCATGCTTTCTTCTTGATGTGTCCCTAATGTTACTATTGCAGGTTTGTTACTTCATGTTTCCTTCAAAACTGTTGCTTAGTGGAATCTACTTATGCTTGATATCATTACTTATTTTTTGGTGGCATGTATGCTTTAAGAAAAAGCAGATGGGAAAACATTATCTGTGTGAATAGATATAACTATAAATGTACAATGGATTTACGCAGTTTACAAGATTTTAACTTAACACAGCATGAAGTAGTAGAGGTATCCTGGTATTTCTGATAAACCTTGTACCCATATCACATGCTTGTATAAACCCATTAATGTTTGCAGATAGCCGGTGTATCTGCTGGGATCTTCTTGCTTCCTGTTTTAAACTTTGACTAGAAATGTCCCTGATAAGCTAAAACATTACATTGCATATGCTGTTATGTTATGCTTGAGAGGAAGCCTTCGATTTAAATGAACAAAAGAAACTTCCAAATACAAAATTGTAAATTAAATCTTTTTTGAAAAAAGGACTTTGATTTAAAAATATACTCAAGAAGGGTGTTCCTTTGCAGCTGAGGAGGAAAGCGACTTCTGAGTCAAAATGCCAAGCTTTTTATTGCCAAAAGGAAAATTTAGTGTTTTTAAATTATTTTCTCCTCTTTGTTATGTAGTGGACAGTTTTAAGTTAGTTTGGAAAACAGCTGAACACAGAATGATAAACAATGTCACTGCTGCCCCAAATTATTATTTTTCAATAGGAAATAATCTGTTCAAAAAACTTCATGCTCTAGTCTTGGTTGCTTTATTTTAAGAGATCCAGAATAAAGTCCAGGTAAGTTCTTTCAGAAATATTTTATTCAAATTGAAGTGGATGCTGTAAGATGTATTTTAGTAAATCATTGGTTTGACAGAGATCCAGTTAACATCAGTCAGCTTATTTCAACTGAGGAAACTGGTCTAAAAATCATTAATGTAGAGCAGAACATATGCAGTTGGTAACCTATCAGGTAAAATATTTTCTTCTAATATATAAAAACTTTATTTAAAAAATTACTTTTTAAGAGAGAAAGAAATAACTTTACTGGTTGACTCCGTTAATTCCTCTTGGGAACAAAGAGCTTAAATTCCACTTCATGCATTTAGACTATAAACTGCCTTTTGGAGTGTTGAACATTACTTGCTTTGTTTTCTTGGCTTTTGTTATTTTAATGTATTGAATCTGCGTAACTCTGAGTTACAACTGTGTCTCTTCATGAATATAACTGTTACATGAAATCATATATTTTCATCTTACATTTTAATACTAACGATCTGCATGGCAAGAGCATTTTATAAACCTGGTGATACAAGTTATTCTGCTGGCTTTTCTGTCTCAAATGTACTGTTAGTGTCTCCGTCTTTCCTTTTCTCATTGCTTCATAAAGGTATGCTGACTGTGGCTTCTTGCATGTGCGGCCTTTCTAACTTATATTCAGAGTCTGTGAAAAAGCTTCGCACGTCTTATTTAAGTAAGTCATCTCATGGCAATAAAATATTTTTGAACATCTGAACTTGTTTTTTTTTTCTTGTTCACTCACCATAAATATTTTTGTTCATTTTAAGTAATTGTTTTACTTCTAGAAACCAATTTTAATCCATCACACATCTATTGTGTTTCTTGTTCATGGCATCTTTAAAAGAAACTTGAAGGGAAAAAACCAACCGTAATAGTATCCGTATTTTGCATTTTTTGAATGAATAAATATCAAAAGCAATAGGAGATGCTGTCTCAGAAGTTACTGATGTCTACAGACCTGAGATCTTACTCGCCAAAATTAGTGTTCTTTTGAGATCTGAGGCTAGATGCTTCCCTTGCTTGGTCCCCTTTCTGGCAGAAAAAGCTTCAGAACTCTAGTGTTAGATTATTATTAATAATAATACTTAACATCGTAAAAGACAGTGATTTGTCTGTTACAAATGAAAATTTACTTCTACAAAGATGATGTTCATAGGGATTAAGATTGGAGGTGTTTGTGTATTGGACAGCCCTGTGGGGTGCCTATGTGAGGGAGGTAGCCCACCAGAACCATGATTAACCTGAGGGCTTCTCTGACTTATTCCATCATTCACAGCATCCAAGAATTTGGAGAACATAACACAAAGCTGATTTTTAAAAGCATAACATTGTTCCTTTCCCTAGGATGCCAGTTTTCTCCAGCCCTTGGGCAGAGGTAGGTAATCTCATCCCATTTTTTAATGAAGGAGAGTGGAATAAAACTAAGCTAAGGGAAGAACGACCTGGAGTAAAAAAAAAAAATAATTAAAAAAAACCCACAAAACAAAACAAAAAAACCCACAAAACAAAACAAAAAAACCCCACCAAAACTAAAAACACCCCTTGAGATTGTGGTCCAATTCTCTTAGTTCTGGGAAATTTCTTTTCCTAACAAGAAAAAAAAATCTTTCAGACAGGCGGAGAGGGGTAGGCTCAATAGCCAAATACTGCTTTCTGTATAGTCTTCCATCCTTTGCTGCCAAGGGACAAAGGGAGCTAGGCATAAAAGAAATGCTTCCACCTTAAGATGATACAGAACTGAAAACCAGGATCTGCCACTGATTTATTACTGTTAAGGAAAGTAAAAGATGGGCAGAAGTGCCAAAACTGGTTTCTGAAGCCAACGATTGTAAAGCTGAATTTACCTGGACTATTCAATTTAGGAATATGTTAAAGCAGGTTTTGTACAAAAGAGTTAATTTCTTAACCATGTAGTTAATTCTCTTTCCCTCCACTGTCCTGCCAGTATCTTGGTCAGCTGGAGCTACAGTCTTTCTAAAAACTGAAAATAACTTCTCTAGAGTTATCATTTACTATTTCTCATTATTTGTACTTCTTTCAATGTATGTTGCCCAGACTTCAATAGCTTAAATAATAAAGCATTATTGCTATGTAATTTTTCACAAATAAGTCTGTTACATTAAAAAACTATCCTTTCCTATATTTATAGGATTGGAACTATAAGATTTGGATTTTGCATTCTCCCTTTCTTGAACATTAATATCTGCATTTAGTGTCTTCAGAAATGCAAGGAACTAATATTTCCTTGGTTTTGTTTTGAAAGATACGCCTTCATTGAATTCTTTATTGTTAAAACATTTGTATCTTAATACTTTTAAATTTATTTTTCTATGAATAAAGACATTTTCAACTACTGTACAGCTCTAATAACCTAGGGAGTACTAGTACTTAATTTCTAAATTTTCCTAGAAAAAGTGCTTATGTATTTAATGTGTTTGTTTTGGAGAAACTGAGTATATTTCCCATTCTCTCGGAGACAACCACAATGTATTTAAAAAAAAAAAAATCATACTAACCTGTGCATGCATTTGGACAAGTTCTTAATTAGTTACATTAAGTTCGGGTTCAGACAGCATGCAGCAGAGCAGCATATTGTTACTGTACATTGTAGCCCAAGATTGATAGAACCAAAAATTAAATTATTTCAGTATAGAAAGGAGTAAGAAAACATTATTCTCTTACTCAGCCACTTCCATAGGTTTTGCCCAAAAAAGGCTGCAAGAATTGGTTCTTCCTCATTAAGAACCCTGCTATTCTGTATGTTCCAGCATAAAATGTCTATGTAGTAGATCATCATTATCTGCATACATATTTGTAATTTAGTAAATGGCATGTCCTGAGTAAACCAATTGAAAATTTAGAAATACTTTTTTTAAAAAAAAGTTCATAGAGTAAGAGTTACATATCTTCTAAAATATGAATGGAAATGCAAGATTTTTCCCTTCAGTTCTGTTGCAAGAATATGATGTATGTTTCTGTCATCTTATTTTTTTCTACTCAGAAAAGAAATTCAGATTCCCGTCTTAAAGCAGCATCTATTTAGAGACAAGGCTCTCTACACTAGCTAGACTGTAAACTGTCTTTTCAGGCTAGCTCAACAGATACAAGCTCCCAGTTGGGATCGTGTTTTGGAATTTATCAGTGATTCATAACCAGGTATATTACTCACATGTTTTGGGTGACAATTTATAGTTTGTGAAGCATGCAGTATATGTGTTTTGTGAAGGCCTGCTAGACAGTGTCATCAGGTACTTGTCAAGGATAAAAACAAAGTCAACCTTTGCCTTGAGATCATAGTATTGGGGGCGGGGGGAGAAACCAACTTTGGCCATGTACTGGAAGACATAAAATGTGTAAGTAAAAGCTTTATAGTATGATGAAAACCGTACACAGTGGAGGCTTATACTGTTCAGAGACCTTTGCTTGATATACTGTTTGCTAAATATGACAGGAGCCATTAAGAATGTCAATATTGGTACCAAATTATCAAACAATTGGTAATTTTATGACTAAACACCAAAACTTATGGACAGCTGTTATTTTTCCATGCTAAGTTACATAATTGAGTTCACATAGGACACCAATCTTAACTCTTAATATTGGTGGGAGTTACAAGATTTTATGTGATTTCTCGACTAGTACAATATAATACAACTTTTTATAAGTTAGTATTTCCTAGCTATACCAGAGGCAGTTTAGGATTCTGACAAAATAGAAGCAGTTTTTTGTATGCATGTGACTTTAAAAAATTTTTATTATACATCAAAAAACCTTTTTTTGAATGTGATCTACAAGGGATTCAGAACTGGGGTTGAGTCAAACCTGAAGAAAATACATGCCTAGAACTCTTCTGGGGTTGCTTGTTCTAGTTGTTTTCCCTATTCCCTTTCTCCTTGAAATGGATGTGGACATGAGCTGTATGAACTTTTAACTTGAACATCAACTAAACCAAACCGAGATCAGCTGTGGCTAAGCCAAGTCCAGAACTGAATCAGGAAGTTGGTTTGTTGGGTTTGGCAATTTTTTTTACTCTGTTTTTCAGGTTAATTGTTTTTAATTCTAGCTTTTACCTCTTCATATCAAGCTAGTTCTAGTTGTAATTTTTCATTAGGCTGGTTTCCAGTCAAGTTGTAGTTTCTTCAGAGATATATGTGCCTAAAGCTTATGTGGAAAAGCTGGCAAATGTCTCATCAAACTTACTTTATACATCAGTTAATTTCAGTTGTAAGTCTAGGGAGTTTTTAATGCTGCATGGTAATTTTTATGTCTTTAATGAATGACATTATTTGATTTTTTTTTTTTTTTTGGACATTCATTTGGGGAGGTTTCAAGTTTCTTGCTACTAGAGTTCAGAGAGAGATAAGCTAAAAGCTTATTAGAAGGTCACTTTTCCATATATTTGTGTTCTAGCAGCTTGTCATCTTTACAGTTCTGAAATGGAAACTCTTGGATCAATTTGCTTTTGTAATCCGTAGCAATTTGCACATATGCTGTAACCCTGAAACCAGAAAACTTTTCCAGGAGAGCTGCTTTACTGCCAGTGCACACACTGCTTCTATCAGGGTACCTGGGGTTTTTAAGATGAACAGCAATAACGATTGTTACACCAGTTTCTTCTCATTGGTCACAGACAAACCCTCATAGTTCACAGACTTAGATCATTCTTGTTATTCTCTGCTTAGTTTAAATACTAATACAGTCATAGGTAAAATTACTTTTTATCTATTTCTGTTCCTTGTTCTGTTTTAAATAATAGCAGTGATGACTATGCTTAGATTTCCAAGGTTTATGTGCCATAATGATTGTCATTATGCTCACTTACTTCTTAGTGGGATAAATCCTACCTAATGCATAAAACTAGTGCACAGGTTTATGATGAGAGAATGTTTTAGGGGTTTTCTGTTGGATCAATTGATCTGAGTTATTAAGATGTATATTAATCAAATTATAGCCTCAAGACTTCTTACAAAGAAATCAAGCATGCAGGTGTGTGACATCATTCTTGGCTAAAGACTATTCCTGTCAATGCAGGAATTTTCATAGGAGAACTAGTGTGAGAACTTAAACTTTTCCTATGAAGATAAAGAATTAAAATATTTGCAGGAAAGTTCCTGAAGTGCATGTTTGGATTTGTTCAGTTTGGCTCCTGAAGGAGCATGATCTAGAAACACAACTACCTCTAAAAGCACAGTACAGGTTTGTCCTCCCAGCACTGCTACTTTCTAAAACTTATATTGCTTGTTGGGAGAGCAGCACCTGGATTTTTGAAAAAATCTTTTTACACTACCCTGTCTAGTACAAAACATTTAGACCCCCATGCATGTTTAAAACTCTGGTGCTTTCAGATGTCAAATCATACTTTTTTAGAGAATAGGTACCACAGTTATCCCAGAGTGTTCATTGATTTACTGATAGATAAATAAATGAATTGCTTTATTCTTTCTTCTGTGTAGCAGAAAGGTATAGCTTCCACCTGGGATTTCACCATGCATTTTAGAATTTAAATCAGTTCCTGGACTGTTGTTCAGTATAGGCTTAACCAAGCCTGAAGATCATTTGACAATTTCACATCAGTCCTAGCCTTTGAGTTTTGAGGTTCAAGCTGTACATGCTCTTAGTAATCTTAAAAAAGACTGTTTTGCATAAATGAAACTGTGTGTGAGGGCAACATACTTTAATGTGTTCCACATGGATACGGTATTTCAGGAGAACTTTTTTCCTTTAAATGATTAACTTCTGGTATAGTATTTGGGAATTTTGAAGCTTTGATAGAAGAGTAGTGCTGTTCCCATTTCTTTTTGTTGTCATCTAACAGGTATGTACAGATGCATTAGTGAATGTGTAGTATACAGCTGTATAGACAGGCTTTGCATGTGCAAGCCCTTGTTGCCTTAGCCATTACCATTACACTTCTCAAGCTTTTTGACTATTTGAAATATTTGTGTGCATGCAAAAACCTTTCATTTTAACAAATATTTCTTAACTATTAGTGTTAAGCATTACATGCTTGTTGGTATCAGTATCGCATCACGACATTTCTGAAGGAAAACTTTAATATATAAACCTGAAGATGCTTTACTAGCCTTAAAATATCAATAAAATTCACTTTTCTTAATTGTGGGCAGTCTTGACAGCAAGTTCTGGTCAAAAAGGAAAATAGAAAAATACCTTGTATACTTCTATTTAGTCCTAGGGAATAATATTTAGGACCCGTATGAGGCAACTTCCATCTTTAGCATCTGATTGTGGACTCCTATGCTTTATTTCCTTCACTGAAACGGAAGGAATGAGCTTTTAGATATTAACATATTACAGTTATTCAAAGGATCAGATTTGACAATGTAAGAATTTAGTGGATTTCCTCCATACAAGAAAGAACATTTTTGTAAGCACCCTAGAACCTAAATTCTGTAAGTGACATCAATAGGGAGTTTTGCTGGAAAACAAATTTGGCAATGCAACAGCAAATACAAAGTGTATCACTGTAACAGTGGGAAAATAATTTAAAAAAAAATGCACCGTAGTTTCACGCATCATACTGCACACATGGTTATAATCGTCAAGATCCTCTTTCATCTGACTTTCTTTTGCAATTATATTTTTAATATAACTCTAGGATTTTTTCAAAACAAATATTTGTACTTAATATATGTCTATAGTGTGTAAATAACTGTTCTGGTAAGTCTTGACTTGCTGAAAATATGGTGGTTTTCACTGAAATTTAATGAGGAAGCATATTATGTAAAGAAAGCTTTAGTAGGAAGAAGTGACTCTACAGTCACTGTGGGTAATGTTCAATTTAAAAAAAAAAAATAATAATAATACATAACAGAAATTCTATCACAACTGGCTGGTTTGTAGCCAATAAGAAATGAAGTTCCTAACTGTAGCGGAAGAAGGTATAAAATAGCAGCTGTATTTATTATATACTGGTTTTGTGTTCCAGCAGGTCTTTGTGATATTAATGAAGGTACAATGGTGCCAGAAGACCGCTGCAAATCGCCTACTTCAGGTAATCATAACTTTCTCTGATCTTCAGCTTCTGATTTGCCCAGAAGATGGTATGCTTTAAGTCAACACTTACTAGTTAAGTAATTATATAAAATCAAACCTGTTGTCTTCTCACAAACTGTTTGAGCTGTCATGAATTTTGCTGTGTTGCACAGCTGCATTTTTAAAACAAGGATGATTTAAGAGATGCAATAGGAATATGTCATAAAGATGAATGAAGAGAGATATAATCTGAAATACTTATGCTTCAGGGAACATACTGCACAATGGAATTTTGAAACATTGATAAGAGATGCACAAATTCCTGTAATAGTCCATGTGATTGTGTTTCAAAGTCCTCAAAAGTGGTAAAGATTATTTCTGTAAAAAGAGCTAGTTTACTTCTGCTTCCTCATACGTGGTAAATTACTATTTTTCTTTGGAATCAGAGGTCTTCAGAAACTGGCATCCTTACAAAGTAGGAGTTCCCTACTTCACGCTTCCCCCCTCCCTTTTTTTTTTTCCCCTCAGTTGCCAGTGCTGTACAAGAATATTTTAAATGACAGCTTCAGCAATATGTAATACTATTTAGTATTTTGTTTAATGTCGCCTAGTTGAGGTTATAGCCATGTAAATGCTTGATAGTACATGTCAATATATAGTATTCAAGATGAATGCTTCATGTAGTAGCTAAAAACTTGTTGCTTATCTTCACTATTACTGTGAGAAAACTTTTGAAGTAATATGTCACTTTATGTGTTTCATTCAAAGTTAGAGTAAAGGACAAAATTGCAGGTTTACTCAAGTAACTAGTCTGTGTGCTCTTTGCAATGTAGTACAAAATGGTAATCAATATAGGAATCTAAAGATAGATTCCTTTTCTGTTGTAGCCTGTACCTTTCAAAGCCAAGTTGAAAGTATAACAAAACAAAATATCCTGTTTGTACCTCAAGTAGAAATTTTAACATAAATTTTAATTTCTGATTTGACAACTGCAGTCTTTTGATGTCAATTTTAAGTTGTGCAAAACTCATCTGGATCAGTCAATGTAATTTTCTTTTTTGCTAACCCTTTCTTAGTAACAGATTTATTTATAATTAAAGTAAAATTTGCCTGGAAATTTTTAATTAAAAATTCTTAACTGAAGATGTGATTTCATGACAAACCTGTGTAATGCTAAGTACTGGCATGCTGAAGTAGTCAACTTCAGCATCATTTTTAATGGTGGTGTTTAGAATAAAGCGAATCTGTCCTATTTCATTTTTAAATATCAAGACCAGTGTCTGCAAATACCTTGTTGTGCAGTGCTGCAGTTGCAGTAAATCACTTTCACTCTCAAGGTTGAGGAGAATTATTGTTCTTAGTAAGGTATTCAAATTTGACCCACTTAAACAGTCCAGTCTACTTTCTGATAGACTGTTATAAAATGTGTACAACAAACAGCTAATGAGTTGTAACCCTTAATCTGTATCCTTTTTCCCCCCTTGTTCCAGCATCACTCAAATGTCAGCCCAAACCACTTCCAACTGGTACTGCTAAAACTTAAAACACTATTTAAATTGAATTAGAGGGTTTCTTTCCTAATTTAGAGTTGAAGTAGATTAAAACTCAATTCACCATTTCCACTAACAGTACAGTGAAAGCAAGCCCGAATCAAGGTTTATATGGAAAAATCCTAAATTTAACAATTTGCCTCCCTTCCCTCTGTGTTTACCTACCTCACTCCCTCCTGAGTTGTGTTTGCTGAAGTAGGTTAAAAACTGCCATCTGGATATTTCTTTAAGAGGATCAAAAAAGTGGCCACTTAGAATAGATGGATTCAAATGAATTCCTGAAAGGAAACAGAATTAGGGGTAAATTCCTAATCCTGCAGAGGTAGAAATCAATCTCCAATTTGAGTTGACTATCTGAGAAGACTATTTTGAAGTTAGTTCATATTAGAATAAAATCTAGAAGTTTGGAGAACTGACTATTCTGTGAAAAGAGTATATAATGTCTTAGGTACACACACAATATTGAAGAGAAATAAGACTAAAGTACCAAAAATAGTGAATGGACAAAAGATGGAGGGGGAAAGCCACTGTTGTGTTCCCCTGTAAAATAGAATCTTGAACTAGCAAGGTTGGACTGTGCCTTGCTTCCCTCAGTTCTGTCCTTTCCTCCCAGCTCTTGGTGAATGAGATAAGGTTCATGGCAGGCTTTTCCAGTTTTCCTCTGGGAAATGTACTTGGAGGGAGGCACCTCCCTGGTAGGGAAATCATTTGGTGGTGTTTGTGAAGACAGAAGAGCTGCAGTTCCTTAGGTTTGGTTTAAGTTTTATATCTTTTCTGGGCAAGAGCACAAGACTGGAAGGAAGCTTGAAAATGGCATATAGTTTTCAGAGAGGTAAGAGAGGACATTCTGGAGAAATCAGCTGCACAGAATTGCTAAGCTTGAGATGCAGGACAGAGGCCAGATTTAAATGAACTTTTTCCAGTCTAGAGGCTCTCTAGTAAAGAGAAAAATACACTAGCACAAAAAGTTTGCTTGTTACTAGCTTTAAGATTGGAGGATGGGATTTGCAATTAAGTGCATTATTGGCTTTGACGGTTAGAATATGATCTGTAAAACAGACCAGTCACTGTTTGGGCTGAAGTCTGCATTTGCTCAAGTGATCTAAATCTTCCACCTCTTCCACCTTTCCATGGCCAGGTGAAGAGAAGTGGAAGCTAGCTTCTGTTAGACTTCCTGCAGTGGGTGGTTATACAGTTCAGAGGACTGTGAAAGGGACTACCTGCCTATGCAAGTTAGGAGAGTGTCCTGCAGTTTTAATAACACAGTACTATGGAAATACTGTGAAAATGCAAGAGAAATAATAACTTTATCTCCTGCTTTTTCCTACAGAAGTTAAAATGTAATAAGTTTAGGCTCCAGTGGCATTTATCTGAGCCATAAAACATTGCATAGTGTTGTAGACTGTCAAGTTTTTGTGTTCATGAGTGTCAAAATGTTTGCATTATATTGTGAAAGTGTAAAATAAGAATAGAAAATCCAATGACATTTGGCATTTTTTAGTTGAACTGAGCTTTAATTTCATGACAATCATAAGCCTCAAGTTGTGGCCTATAGCCACCACTGGTTTTTCAGTATTAAGGATTCAGAAAAATCCTAGGTGGCAGCATTGGCTCTGAGTTGGCTGCAGAACAGTTGAAGAACTGTGACCCAAAAGTGAATTACTGCATTGGGAAAAAAACCAAATTTTCAAATTTGAGCTTATTGTTGCGGCAGTGTTCTGTGAATTATAATTTAGGTTAATCTTTGTGTCTGGAACCATGATTAGAACAGCAATCTAGTTATTAAACATAAGCATTTTATTCAATGAGGGAAATATTTCTAGCAATAAATTTGTACTCTGCAACATTTTACCTTGCATTATAATTTTTGTGGTTAATCTCAATATCGCAGAATTTCTGTCATACCAAAATAATTTGGACTTTATAGTGTCTAGTACAGCTACAGAGAATACCAGTATCAGTATTTGATATTTTAATATATCTTTGTATTTTCCTTAAACTCAAAGCTTGTATTAATACATTGGTTTTGTGTCAAACATATATCTTTGTATATCCATTTCATTCTGTCTTCACTCATAGGTTCTGGTTCACCAAACAATTCTGATGATGATCAAAAAATGAATAATTTTATAGAAAAGGGTACAGTATTTTTCTTTTCTATAATCTTATTTTTTCTTCAGTTCATCCTTTGATACACTTAGATTGATCTTTTTTATTAAAATATTATTTACAGTGAAGACCAAAAGCAGAAAGTTTTCCAAGATGGTAGCCAATGACATAGGTAGGAACTAGAAAAATTCTGCTCTGTTCCTAATCCAGTGCCTTACTCTATGCAACACTAACCCAGCAGCAAAAAAAACAAAATAAAATTCAAATTTCAATGCATTAAGTTATTAATTTTTCATCCTGTATGCTAATTGGTAATTCTGTGGGCTGCTTCTATACTAAATACACTGGGCACAATAATTTCTAAAAAATCAATGATATTAGTGGTTTAAATTCTCTGACTTTACAATTGCACTTCTCTATTTTCTGGATGGGTGAAATTCTAATCTGTACTAAGAGTTCAGTCTATGCGAGTGACAACATTATTCCACTACTTTTGCAAAGGTACACTCTCTTTGAGAACATGTGGCTGATTTAATTTCTTTTTATGTCTTGCATTCATAGCCATATGGTCAGATTTCCATATGACTATGGTCAAGATAGAGGTAGTAGCATGTTTTCATTTAATTGTCGGGAGGAGGACTTGGTCATATATAAGTACCCCCCGTTACTGTTCCAGAACTGCATTTACTTTTCTGCATCCATCAGTGACACAATACTTTACCAGCTCTAGACTTGTGTCTAAAAAATTTGGTGACAAAATTGTGTTGGAATATGTTGTATGCAGGTAGATTGAACCCTTTTATGATTGGAATGGAAATTAACTCTGCTTCTGACAACTGGGCCATTACATAAATGAAGGCGAGAGGCTGTATGATTTAATTTTGTGGAAGGGACTCTTCTTCCATAACCGGGATATGGTTATTTTAATTTCAGTATCACTGTGTTAATGGTTCATTTTGTTTTTGTTTAGTATGTTAGTATATCATTGTAGGAGGATTTCACTTCATCTCTTTAGTCAGATCAAAAGGTTGAACTACTTTATATAGTAAAACTGTTTGCTAAATTACTATTTCATAGGTTGTGTGGAACCATAGGTTAAGAATAGGGAGGAAGAGATTTATTTTCAGGTAATCTCCCTTGGTTTTGCTGTTTGGGAATTTAACTTTTATCCGAAACCATTCATCTCTTTCATCGCAATTCCATAATTGAGAATAAGAATCATTGAAAATTCAGTGAGATAAATATGAGTATGATGAAGTTCTCTTTGGAATCTGAGGTACAGAATGAGGAAGAGTAAGAAGATGCCCTTTTTTTAGTACTACGTTGAGCCCTTCTTGCAGTGGTAACAGAAATGTTATGGAAGATGAGTTCTGAGACAGTGGAAGCCTGAATATAATTCAAGAAAGCAAATGGCTGTCAATAATATGTCAAGTCATCTCTAATTATTAAAAACTGAGTATCGTTTACATGAGTATTGATTAATATGTTCTCCTAAAGGAAATTCAGGCTAACTAGAAACTTACGTTCAGTTCTTCTAACAAGAAGACCACTTAATCTTGTACATGTTGTATCAATGCCTGTTGATGATGTAATGTTTCCCCTTTGTCCTAAAGCAGTCTCTTCTGAACTTAAGACAACTTATCTTGTGCAAAAAACATAGTATGTTTGAGTGCGACTTCATTATTTTTTTACTTTTTTCGGAGTAAAGTTACAGTATTAATAAAGCATGCTAATGAATTCTGTAGAACTGTTGACATCTGCTTCAGCTTGAAGCCTTTCAACTGAAAGTATTGTGAATGTTTTTCACAGCTAAAAAAGCAAAACATTTATTTACAAGTAATGCACTCTTCAGGGCATAAGTTAAACACAGAGTTAATTGAGACGATAATGCATTTGACATGTAATTCATAAGCGTCTCCCAGTCAGCCCATACTGTGATTTGTGTAACTTGCACAGTTTATTGGAAGTTTGAAGGAACTTAATTATTTCATCTGTATTCTGTTAGACTTCTGAGTGGTTCGATGCTGTGCACTGAATGTTTTTTTTCACTGCCATGTTTTCTATACCTTATCTGGCATGTTTACTATGCATGGCTCTTTCTTAACTTACATTCTAAGCTCTTCCATATAAGTAAAACACCTCTTCTTTGGTGTTAATAGTTGCATGGTTTTGCATTTCATTGTTTTAATCTGAATTACCAACTAAATGTGAATGGACAATGAGTTTTGTAAAATGTGAATGTCACTTACTGTTGTTAACTTCATGTTGTATGAAATACTGTTTACCATCAACTGTGTTCACATGGATGAATTTGTACGTAGGACAGTTGTAGCTCTTTGCACTGGCATATAGTGCAGTCAGTTCAAGTTCTTTCGTTTCTTTGTCAATATGTGAAATATAACCCGTCAAATGGATTGTGAAACAGAATAAGAATTATTTACATTGATAATTTCAGTTGCTTTTAATATCACTCCTGTGGTTTTTGTCACATGGGAACAATAAGTAAGGGAATACTGCTTGCAAAGTAATTTCATTTCAGTGATAGGGCTGTAAGGTAGTAACATAATACACATGCATTTAGAAATATGAAGTCATTATCAATTTAATCACTTTATTGGAATTATGTAAAGACATCTTCATTTCTACAGATTTCTGTCATTACTGACAGTGTCAGACAAGGATTCTTGCTTTGTTAAAGGATCAAAAACCATCTAAGACTGCAAAAATAGCATAAATAAACTAAAATGTAAATGCTTCATGTACCAACACTTCGGCTTTCCCATATATACTGTTAAGATCAGTTGGTCTTCTGGTTTTTTTCTGAATCCTCAGTTGTGAATGTTCCATGCTAAGGAATGGGTAGTAACTCAAGTTAAAGACCTATTGTGAGTATGCTGCTTTTGGGTCACATTTCCTTTTTATTTGCATCAGAGGTGAACTTTGGAAAAGTTGCAATTACCTTGGATATGTGGAGATACTTGGTTTAACTAACCATTTCTAGAAACTATAGAAAATACTGTGGCCATTATTAAAAGCAGCCATTTCTCTTGGGAATGGCAACTATTTGAAAGTATAAATAATGTGCTGTGAAGTAGTACAGAGAAGTGTATCAAATGTAGATGAACTTACAGGAAGAAGAATTGGTAGGAAGTATTTAATTTCTAAGGCCATGTCATTTTTATAGAAAGGCTTTGTGATCCAACTTCAGTGGAAGCAAAATCTTAAGCTGTTTTACTCATACTTTGGTCAGTTAATTATCTGGCATGAAGAGATATAAGCAATTAAATATACAGCTACAAATCAGGTCAGAAGTTAAGGGGTATTGTAACGTCCATTTATGGAAGCCTTAGTAAAGGTACATGCAAAATACTGTAGACTCTCAGACCTTCATAACTGTTCCAGTAGGCTACACATCAAATACTTTTCAGGAAAAGTGGTTTGATTTATTTTCGCAGTTTATACATTTAAAAACAATTGCAAACAATATTTGTAGGCAGATCTAAGCAGAGCAGCTTTAATTCCAAACTTCTGTAATCCCTGCTGTTACTATTGATATAAGGCTTCTCACATTTGTTACATTCAAAGTGTACACCTTAATTTTTCAAACAGTGCTAAAGTCATTGACTGTTAATGCTGGTTTATGGAATCAAATCTTAAGATGCTCATAATAAGTTCTCTATTTGCCTTAATGTCAGAGCAAGACTGTTTCTTTGAATGTGTTTTTAGTACTTTGGTCTAATTTTGGATATATCAAATACATCGTTTCTTATGTTTTCTTGTAAAATGGCTTTATTACTCTGATATCAAATTTAGAGATTTCAGCATTGATAATCTATTTCTTTATTGTACTGTCACCAGTACAGTATTCAATTCTTTAAGCATCTTGAAATTGGTAATGTTAATCTTTCACTTCTGTGTAGTTGTCAAATATAGAATAATTTGGGAACTTTGTTATGTCTAACAAATTCTAAGGTGCTTAGTTATTTCTCATGAAATGTTAAATGAAATAGGCTTTATGTAAACTGTTCTTTTGTCTGTAAAAACACCAAGGCACTGTCTCCTTTATAATCTTTAGAATTTTTTTAAAGGGTTTAGACTGTTTCCTTAAATAAGGAATGTGTGAGTAATCACTCTATAGCTTTCAAACTGATGTGCTTATACATTCTAAAGTATCAGCTCAGGATAACCCACTGCAAATAAAATATGACTATTACTTTTAAGCCACAGCTTCCTATTGATAGTTCAGTCATGTCTCAGCCTTCAGTTTTTCTTCATTAAATTGCTTGAGACTCCTATGCTGAAATGCAACACACTATGCCAAGGTAACCATTCGTATTTTAACACCTCGCCCCCTCAAGTCTCACCTATGAGAAATCTCCAAGAATCTTGAACGTTGGTTTTGGACAGTTCTCTAACGTCATACTTTCATGTTATACATATTAGCAACAGAAAGGGAGTGTGCGTGCGTGTGTGTGACTCTAGGTTTTCTAATTTAGAGGAGTATTAAATGTAGCTCTAAACACGGGCAAAATAGTCATTGTTGCCTTGAGCAGCAATGTGCCAGGAGGAGCAAAATGTCTCCCCTGTCTCTGTTTCCTTGGTGCACACCAGCCACAGAAGGGTAGTCTTGGCTGTAAACACTTCAGTGACCACTGCCACCACCAAGAGAGGTATTAAACTCTGATATGACAGCTACTACTTGAGATTAGCTACACCCAGCAGTCACAGTCACCGTCACCTTTGCCCTGTTGTACAACTGGAGTAAAAAGCCTGACATTGAGTGCTCTCTATGTAGATCTCCATCGTATCTCTTCCATTTCTCTGATTTGTATCTTTTGTGTCATAGAAGTTGTCTATCGTTGCTGTTTTTCATCTGGGGCATAGCAAAACTGAATTTTCCAAAACTATTGTAAACCATAAGCCAGATATGAATACAAGCATGTTTCTTTTATACTAAGTAATGTTTGTTAAAAATGGCTTAGCTGGCAAAATACTCCTATTTTATTATTGCATCTTTAGGCACGTTTTCTTTAAACACAAGATGGCAGTACTGCTATGTAAATAGTTTATTGTTTCCTATTTACATTTGAATTATTGAGGGGTTTGACACATTAATGTATGTTTCGAAATGTATTTTTTTGTATAGCACATTAATGCACATTTTCTAGCAATGACATCCGTTTTAACAATTTGTGTATTCTCTTGTCCTATTAATGAGGCATAGATCAGTGTTTGTAGAAAATGATGTCTAACATATTTGTTTTACCTTATCAAACTAGTTCACACAGCTGGCCTTTTGCTGAGGAGCAAAAAGCTAAAAGGGGGGACTGACTCTTAGAATCTAACACACTTGCCTGTACTGGTTATTACCTGCTATATTACCTCTTACCTAGTACCTTTTTTTTTGTCAGTTTTCTCCAAGTTTTTAGAATCATGTGTTTAAACACTTCTATTTGAAAAGCCAAAAGTGACTGCTCTGGTCTTCAAAGTGACTAATCATTGCTGGTATTCACACATGGTAAAAGCTGTGAAGAGCCAAAAATAACTCAAGTTTATTTTCTGTGTGCGTACTTGAGCTTTTGTTCAATATCTCAGCTTTTATGATTTACATGTCTAACACAGAAACAAGTTTTATGAGGAATGCCCATCTTGTAACTCACAATTCCAGGTGAGGTTTCATGATCTCCTTTCAAGCTGATGTAAGGTCAAGCTGACAGCAAAAAGATGACCTCCTGGTCACTAGTGCTGTTTTGTACTGTGCTTTTCTGCTTGTATAGCTGAGCTCTGATCTGGAACAGAAGTTGATCTTGTTAAAAACAACTCTTGACAGAAATTTCATTTAAATGAGTTTTGGCCTCCCCATTAAGCTAGGCAGATGCCAGTGCCAATGCAAGGATGAGGGTAGAAAACACGTAGTCAGACTGCCCTTTTCAGTTTCAGCCTGTGCTAAAATAAAGTGACTAGCATTTCATTCTGAGAGTAAGTAATTTCAATTTAATTTGAATAGGACATACTTTGTAACATTGACACATGAAGGAAATTAGAAGATTATTTCTGGAGTCTTATTCTCAAATTTTTGTAATGTATGACAGGAATAAAACTGTTCAACTATTCAGATAACTAGCATTTGCAATATTGATGAGCGTAATTGATGATACAATGAGGTATTTCACTTTCTGAAGGATTGGAAGTAACTTTAAATCACATGCTGTTTTTCAGGATATGTAGAAAACGGAATGATTTCTGTTAAAATGATAATTAGAATAAAATAACTATTTTTAGCTGAGAGAAGCAGCAAGGTTCAGGCTGCTTTATGACTGGTATCCATTACAAGGTACTCCTAGAATTATAAGGCTATTGTCCACATCTGCTATAGGTAGAGAAGTATTACCTTTACAAGATGGTGAAGAATTAAATGATATATCAGAATTCAAGCGTGTGGCTGGGAAATAAATTCAGAGTCTAGCCCTGGTCTAGTAGTTAAGCTACATCAAAATTATTCCTTCTCTAGTAATTGTTGAAAGCTGGAAGAGGGATGTATGGCTACTAATTTACTAGTGACTTCGATTATAGCAGCATTTGTTAATAGTGTACTGCATTTTAAATGGACCACAAGATTTCCATTCCTATAAAGAGAATTTTCCAAGTCAGGGATGAGTTCAAGTGCTGTTTTTGACTTCAGCAATATAATCAAAATTATACTATCTTTTGTTTGACAGTGCTGCAAGTGTTTGTATGCTGCTGATTTTATAACTATTCTCTGTAACATTTTCATAGTTACGGATTGCATCTCATTACTAGCTTTTTACACATGTGCATTAATGTTTTAGTGTAATTAAAAGTTCATCTTTTCTCTATTTTAAGTATCTTGGGTTTGATCAGGAAGTAGGGTAGAAGAAGAGGGGATGGGATGCTAACTTTACGTAAACTTCAGTGCACATTCTTGCAATAGCCAAGAGTCTGTATTCTGTCCTCTTACCTGAGGAGATAAAACTTGAGGTTGAGCCAAAGCCAAATCCATCCAATCCATCAAGTTCTGCCTGAAGCCTGAGGAGAAACAAAGCTTGGCAAAAGTCAAAGTGCTGTATTTTGGGGATTTTGGTATCTGTCACATTTTACTTTGCACCCCTTCCTTGTGGAAGTGAGGCTGTGCTTTAGTAGAAATCCTGTTAAGTACTGCAATTAATGTAATAAACAATGATATATTAAATATTGGGAAAGAAGCAAATAAAGGCCAGCAGAATCATGTTTATTCCTTTTAAAAAAAAGATATACTTCACTTTTCAGCAAAGATGTCCAGGAAGCTAAGTTTGCCAACTGAGTTAAAGCCTGATTTAGGTAAGTTTACATAGTTGATTTTATTTTTACTAAAACTGTTTTACAGAATATGAGTACATTAAAGTGAGAGTCCTAAATTATGTAAACTATCATGACTTTGTTGCATTTATCTGAAGTCTAGAACTAAAATTTTAATTCCACTCTTTTTGGGGGCTCTCAGGCACAAAATGTCATTGCTGTCATCATAAGGTAAGCCTGCAAATCTTGTATGTGGCTTATCGCACTTTAATCATAATTTTTAGGCATCTGTCACTCACTTTATCGGTAGTGCTGTGATAGCAAAAGTGTGAATAAGCAGGTAATGTAAGGAAAATTGCTTCCTGTTTTGAACCATCTGATACATTTTAAATTGAAAAATGAAATATCTTAAGAATAACAGGATATGTTGAGGTCCAGTCAACAAATAATTGGACATAGTTTTACAAATGTTGTCTTGTGACCACTCTCTCTAAATGAAAATAATATACAGCTGTTTGGATGGATGACCAGTCTGAGAATTTATTTTTTCTTGAAAAAGCACAGTAACTTTCTTTTATATAAGAAGCAGTTCAGTTGAGGTTGTTAGTACTAAAGGTCATTGTATTGGATAACTGAAACATCATACAAATGAGTAGATTTATTATTTTTTTAGTACTTTGCCAGCTTGTAGATCAGATCCAGCTCTCCTGCCTTGTTCTCTAAAGATGATGGGGGACAGCTGTAGACCTACAGCAGTAGAATGTAGCCTGAATGTGAAAGCTGCCTTCTGCCTGCCACAGCTTGCTCCCCCTCCTGCAGCAGAATTGCTACCACAACCCCAGCAGAAGACAGACCAGGATCAGACTGGCAGCTGCAAAGCTGTGTATTTGGCAACTGTTGCTATCAGCAAGGAAAGAGTCCATGGCACTGGAATATCCTGAAACTGAGCTGGACCACCCTGATTTACAATTTACAATTACAGCTCGCTCTACTCGGAGAAATGTTGGAAGGAACCCTCAGAGATCCTTTAATCCATTGCTATGGCAAGGATCCATATGTCTGACAATTTAACCTCTCATCTGTTCATGAGCCTCCAATAAATAAGTTTTTAGAAAAATTCCCAGACAGAAAGTTCCAATGTTTTATATTCAGACAAATTTCCTGTTATTTAATCAAACTTCCTTGCTTCCATATTAACTTTTTCTTGTCCTTTCCACAATGAACAGGGATAACAAGTGCTCCCTATCTTTTTGTTAGCCATCTTTTATGCTGTTGAAAGCTGTCATCACATCTCTAATCTTCATTTTTTTACAGTTTTTTTTTTTTTACAAAATTCAGTTCCTTCTCCTTTTTTAGGTTATGTTGTCTAAATCTAGGATGGCTTCTGTTACTCTCCTCTGAACTTGGAATTTTTCTTCATCTTTCTAAAGCTCTTGTGCCCAGAACTAGAGGGATTTAACTGGCCTTGTTGGCAAGAAAGAGCAGAAAAATTTGATTTGTCTTTTCAATCTGTTGCTGTTCTTCCTTACTATGTTTACTAATTTATTAGGGATGGTTTCAGTTTAGGGTGACTTTTGTCATACTTTGCAAACTGGAACACATTTGTATTTAAATATTATCTAATTAATTCTACTGTTGTTTTACTCCCAGTTTTTGATAGCAATAAGTACTTAAATGTGTTGTGGTTTTGGTTTTTTTATGAAGACTGGAGAAAAGAGAATGCTTAAAGTCTTTCAGCACTTTCTGATCCTGAAAGAGTTTCAGCATTTTCTACATCATTTAATACTTGCTGTTCTTTCTGCTGAAATAATGGAATTTTTTTTTGTCATCTCACTTCTGGTATACTCATAAAATAGTTTGTAACTTCTGAATTGTAATAGCCTTTGGTTTTGCTTGGCTTTGCATATGTATGGATATCTTCACTTAGATGCCTCATTTTGTTCTGTGTAAAATTCTTTTAGGTTTTCAGGTCTGTAAATAACTTCCTTAGGCAATTATAATCTTTTTTTTTTATTTTTACTTCTATCTTTTCTCCTAGTGGGATAGCTTTTGCATAGTGTTCTTCAAAGATTGTCAACTTGCTTGTATTTTTTTTGTCACTTATGTGGCTGTATCTACTGGCTCTAGGAGACACCTGAAATGCCTTTCTCCCAAGCTCATTATGCTTATTATTTTCTCTCCTTTCTTTCCATGGCTTCTTGAAACCTACTCTTTCATGATCTTGTTCTTTCAAATTACTTTTCTGTCTTTAGATCTTTAACTACCCCTTTTCCTTCCTAAATAGCCATAACAAAAGCTAAAGTATGTGCTGCTTATGTGCTTATCCTCCACTTTCTAAAGCAGAAGTTATCTTGAACACACTCTAGTCTGCATTATAGCATTGCTTTTCAATGTTGTAATCCACATGATTTAGGTACCATTGCCACAAGGTCCTATCCTTCGGTTTAGTTGCTCAAGAGAGTCTCATCTTTCCATCCTTCTGATGAAGTGGTGTGTAGTGGATCGTCACACTGTTCCTTCCTCTTCATCTAAACGAATCTATTAACAAACCATAGCTTCTTCCTTGACTTCAGGATAAATAATATGCACTAAGGCAGTTAAACTCTTTACCCTTGGTTCTCTCTTCTGAACGAGTTGGCCACTCTCCACAACGCCTGTATTGTCTGGCAAGTTAGTTTTTATGGGGCCTTTTCCTGTCCATTCCAATGCTTCTGGAATTTGTACGCATGCTCTTCAAATATTCAACCAGATGCAGCTCAACAAATGCACATTTAATTTTATGCCTGTTGCAGTTAATGTATGATTATATTCAGACTGATTAATCCATGTTAGAGTTGAAAAAACATTGTTAGTAAATATTCAAGCCTGAAAAAACAAGCATCTTAAGAGGTTGTGGTCATTAGAAGAACTATAAAAAACAAATAATTGTTTTCACTGGTTTACTCTGGATTTGATTTTTTTAAATGTGAAAACTTAGCATGTCAACATCTGAGTGGTTGACCTAGTTTCTTTCTGTAATCCATGTTTTACATTTGACTTAGCTAGAATTCAGCAGGACGATAATTTTTCTATCCTTGCTGGAATGAGACGAATATCTCCTGAGAAGATTCACTGTTTGTGTTGAGTAGATGTCTGTATTTAGTCAGTTGAAAACTAGTTTGTGTGCTTTTCAAATGCATGTTAGATGTTCTTTGTAGAAAGTTTTGCAATAATTTAATGAAATTAGCATAGTGATACTTCCAGAAAGTATGTGCTTGAAGATGCCAGTTGCATCTATACCCTACCCAAAGATCCAAAACAATAACTTAATTTTTCAGAAGTCATGATATAAATTGCATCAAACTTTTACTAGTAAGGTTTGTCTTGTGCTAAAATTTTGGAATGATGAGTTAAAGTAAAGCATTAATTTGTGAATGCACAGATAAATTCAGATGTGCTGATGTGTTAAGTATCACCACACGTGCAGATAGTGCACAGCTAGAATGGAGCAGCAAGTTTACTGGTTTGAGCTTTTGTTAATATTGGAATTCATTCTCTGTTAAGAGAACCTTATTTGCCAAGCAGTGAGCAAGATGGCCTGAAAAGTTTTAGTGCTGTTTCTGGCACTACAGTACAGTATTCAAAATGGAAGTCTTCAGCTTTTCATACCAGTGCCAAGTGGCATTTGGTAGCATTTGATGTTTCTCTTGCTAAAAGTTTGGGTGTGTGTAAATAGCCTGTTAGACCTCCTCCATACAGTTTCCTAAAGTGGGACAATATTATTGTGAGTCCTTACAGGTTACATGGTATCATGCTGTCTGGATGTCACTGCAGTTCTTAAAGTAAATTAATTGCAACTTCATAAGATTATTAAACCGTGTTCTATGGAAGCCAAGATTTTTTTCATCTGATCAATGAACTAATTTGCAGAGAGGTTTGTAATTCAATTTTTTTTTTTAAAGGAAGAGTCCTGTTTGATGATGACTGTTATTCTCTGTCCTAAGAAGACAGAAATATGCATAACAAGTGTTCATGACAATTACCTAATAGCAACCTCTGCAAAACAAGATTGGGCACTTCGTTCAGAATACGGTGTTGAAAACTGGGCTAAAAGAAAATATGACTAAGGAAGAATACAGTAGTAATAATCAATGGCATGGTAGTTAGAATATACTTCATGCTAAAGAACAAAAAAGAAAATCCAAATTCTCTTAATCTCCCTGCATTTTGCTATTCTTTTTAATTAAACTGATTTATTTTCAGATGTCAAAGACAACTCTTTCAGTCGATCCCGGAGTTCTAGTGTAACTAGCATTGATAAAGAGTCACGCGAGGCAATTTCAGCTCTTCATTTTTGTGAGACTTTCACAAGAAAGACTGATACATCACCTTCCCCATGCCTGTGGGTTGGGACCACGCTGGGTACAGTGCTTGTCATTGTACTGAATTTACCCCCAGGAGGAGAGCAAAGACTTCTTCAGCCAGTAATTGTTTCTCCTAGTGGTATGTACAAAGCAGATGGGCTAAAGCATACTTTGATTAAAGTATTGTTCTCATTCATATTTTTTTAAAGAAACTGTTTTTCTCTGTTATGGATTAGTTAAATTAATATATATTCCATTGATTTAGCTACTAAGGTTAATGATCTAGCTTGGTTACTTCATTACCAGAGTTTTAAAGTTGCAAAGTTGAAAATATGATCTCGTGTAATATAAAAATATCACTTTAATGTATACTTGCTGAAAAACACGTTTGCTAACCTTAATATAGTACCTGGCAATTGTTGAACAGAGATAGCAGAAGAGATGAGTATTTCAAATGCTCAAATTTTTTATTTTTTTTTTTAGTCATGAGGTAGGAAACTTTCAGTTTTCCTGCATCATGAAAAAGGGAATACAAATTAAGGGTTGTATATTGAACAACAAGGTTTAAATATTAGTGATAAAATATTCATTTGGATTGCTGTGAGAGGTCTTGTATCTTGTTTTTCTGATACACAGCAACTGATTTTGTTGTAATTATATATTAATGGCTTGCTGAATATGCTGTTAGGTATAGATTTAGCTTTCCTGCTACCACTGTCTCATGCAGAACATGACATGCTGCTCTGCTCCACTTTGCTCACACAGCTGGTATCAGGACATGTGAATTGCAATGCTATTTCATTGAAATAGTTATTAGGAATAGCGTGACCTCTAGACCATATATGTGATTTGTGCTTATCAAGTATGGTATTGGCAGCAGTATTCAGATTTGGTAACATATGATCATAAAGGCAAGACTGCAGACTAGGCAGTATGTTTAATCACTGTATCTGCAGCATAAGCCTTAAAAGGATACTGCCATGTGTATGGGTTTTTTGTGTACTTAGCAAATGTTCATGTTTTTACTTATGTGTGAACAAATATAAGTAATATAAGAAATGTATTAGCTTGAGATCTGGCCTACAGAGATAGTGACTTAAACAGTGGGGAGGGAAAACTTTTCTTCTTTCATTTTATGCTAAGGAGTTGCATTCAAGTGTGAACTGCAGGGGAAGAAAACCCGTTGCTTGTTTCTGAACCTGTCTGAATTGAAGAAAAAGGAGGTGCTCACCTTTGACTAATATTTATTGTTGACATTAAGCACACTGTGTACTCCTCAGGAGAGAATGAAATGAGTTGCATTTGTGACACTGAACTTGAATACATGTGTGCATTCCAGCTTGGCTCTCTTAATAAATGTATACATTTCCATTGAAGTTAATGGAAGAGTATGCATACATGTAACCTTTGAAAACTGGTTTAACATTTTCTTGAATACATAGGTGCTCTTGCACATGTTTCATTGGTTTTTAGATAAACATCCAAAGGTTTTGGTACATCTGTGTTGCTACAGAGGCAAGCCTAAGTTCTAGTTTTCTTTTCATTGTGCTAGCTTCTGAAAGGAGTATTTTGTAGCTTGAAAGACAATTTAGGAGAACTGTTTTAGAAATGTGCTCAATTGTTTTTTTCCTAGGAACCATCCTGAGGCTAAAAGGGGCAATCTTGAGAATGGCTTTTCTGGATACCACAGGATCTTTGGTCCCACCAGCACATGAACCCTGGAGAGAACTCAATGTTCCTGAAGATAAAGATGAAAAAGATAAATCGAAAAAGCGACGACCTGTCTCAGTGTCCCCCTCTTCCTCTCAGGAAATCAGTGAAAACCAATATGCAGTGATATGTTCAGAAAAGCAAGCAAAAGTTATCTCACTGCCATCTCAGAACTGTATTTATAAGCAAAACATAACAGAGACTTCTTTTGTTCTTCGTGGAGACATAGTGTCATTGAGTAACAGTATCTGCCTTGCATGTTTCTGTGCCAATGGACATATTATGACTTTTAGGTAAGACCTGTTTGATAGTAACTTAAACATAAAAAGAAAAAATAGTCTTCTGCTAGATAAAAAGTTTCCTTTTCCATACAAATATGAAATTTTAAAAAATGTACATTCACTCAGTGTTCATGAACCTCTAACACTTGGGCCTGGATAATTTTCATTATGCATTCCTATTAGTTATGCCCTTAACACATGAAAAAGTTTACTAGTTTAGCTCAAGCTACCCCGATTCAACAAATAGTTCCAAATATGCGATACCAGTCCATGAGTTGATGAAGTTTGTCTCAAAGTTGAATTTACTCCCTGATGGAGAAAACTGCCTTGAGTCAGACCTTCAGCTGGTACCTGACCATAACTCTGCATATTTTTGTGCAGCTGTTTGCATCACATTCATGCCTCAAGCTTACCGTTTTGTTGCGTAGCTTGCTTATTTCTATACTACAACCACTAGCAATTAATCTTGCCTTTATAGCCCAAGTTTAAGGCCTTTAAGACATAAGTCATCTAAAGTAAAGGGTTTAAGTTATGAGTTTAAATATGTGTAGAAGTAATGTTTGAATGTACTTACGTTTCACTTGGGTAATTTTAGTATGTCCTTTTTCTTGAGCATTTTCAAATGGTGTTTTATTCTGAACAGTAGTGTGTATATACCTATACCCTTGTCACCTACATTTTAGTCACAGCTAATGCTAAGATGAATGTGGAACATGGCATTTTAAAATTGTGCTGGTAAAATTCCTAAAACATTATTTTTAAGGTTGCAAAAACAAGCTTTCAGCTTGGGAAATTCTCTAAAAGATACTTCTTCGGGAAATTGTTAGGAATAAAACCAAAGCTGATGCATACTACAATTAAAAAATAAGTTTTGATTAAGTCTTTTAACTCCATTGATGTATACCCCAACATATATTCTAAGCATCTCTACAAAATGCTGCTCACCTTTTAGGGCAAGCATTGTTTTTTCCCCTAATGAAAACTGAACTTAATGTTTAGGTACTATATATTGAAACATCCTGTTTTCCTCAGGGTTTGTTTTGTTTTCTAATGAACTTTGCATAGCGGTAGGTGCTAAATTATAAATATTGAATTGTTACATTGTGTAGGGAAGTTGAATTCCCAAGGATTAACTCCATTCCATAAACATGAATTCCTGTTGGGAAGTGGACTTAAGGTGTCAAAAAAAAACAAAAACAAAAAACCCAAAACTGTTTGTGTAAAGTTGTCAAAGCATTGTATCGTTCCCAAGATGGCTAATACTTACCTACTGATAAAAATTTAGATAGGGCTTATGATTCTGTTACAGATTTGTTTGAAACTCTGAAAATGCTGTCATGGATGTCATGGTTGTCCTATCTGATCTAATGTTTTTGTATTTTGTCTTGAAGCTGTAACGATGTTTTATGCTTCCATCAGTCTGAAGCAAGGCACTTCTCTGTTACTAACTCACTCTTAGGAATATTCTTGGTTTAGATAAGTGCATGGCAGAAGTGTCATTTCTGGGTGATGTGCTTATAAGAGAACATTGTTTTTTATTTCTTACCTGTAGAACTTGCTTCCAAAGTCATGTTACCAGTTCTCCTTCCTTTTGTTTGTCATAGATTAAATCTGCTAAGAGACGATCCACAGTCTGCAAAATGCAAGCTTAATGTTTAGAAATCTCAGTATCATATAAAAAACCACCCCAAAGCTTACTGTTGTGGTTACTACATCTTTCTTTTTCATTGCTTTTGGCTTTACTTTGCACCTTTACTGCTTTTTTTAGTTTCTAGAAATAATAATCTTATACAGCTGGTATCTGCAGCAAAAGCTGCTTAATGTATTGTTAGCTGCAAATGTACCAACATCTTATGTAAATTACGCTTTTACAGAAATTTCAGAGGGAATGTTTTTGAGACAGCAGTTTATTTTGGGTTCTATTTATCAAGACATCAGGTGTTCAGTCACTTCTTTCTTGCATTTATTATTACTTTGAGGGAGAGGAGTGTTTGGTAGCAAGAGCATTGTTACAGCCTGAGTGTGTTGCATCTGTTCTTCAGTAGCTTGATGCAAAAGTACTGCAATTACATGTGCAGAATCAGAAAATGCAAGGTAAGTAAACTTTGCTCTAAGAGGACTTCCTCTTAATTATGCGGTCAGACAGAAAAGTTGGACATAATTCATAAGATTGTTTGAAGCTGCTGAATTCTGTTTTCCTTTGAAAGCACAGCCCTGCATATTTCTAAGTGTTCTTGAGGAGAGATCTTTTACACTTGTATTTTTAGTCAAGGAGAAATTCTTCACCCAAGAGAAGAGGCAGGATGTTTAGTTGTAAACTTTTGGTAGATACTTATCAAAATACTTTGTTAGTAATTACTGAATAATGCTTTAAGTGAATCTGAGATTTACATGCTCAGAGTATCATTTAAAGGATGCTTTTAAATGCATCAGTGATGCAGATGTTTAAATTTCACTTTTGAGGCACTAACTTGAAAAAATTCGTATTTATGTTTTGAGATTTTGCAATTGCATTAAATGATACCCTGTTTATGTGGTAATTACGTAGATGGTGAAGAGAAAAATAATGTATTGCAGTCTAAAAATGAGATATTTGATCAATAATAGACAATCTTGCTATATTTAATCATTTTTTTTAATTCTTTTTCTTAAGTTTGCCAAGTTTAAGGCCGTTGTTGGATGTATATTACCTGCCACTCACCAATATGCGGATAGCCAGAACATTCTGCTTCACCAACAACGGACAAGCACTCTATCTTGTCTCACCAACTGAAATACAGAGGCTCACCTACAGTCAAGAAACATGTGAAAATCTTCAGGTAATGAATTACAAAAAATAATTACTGTTTTCCTAGATATATGCTGAGGTTCTTGGTTCTAGATTCGTGATGCTTACAGTAATTAAGTTTGTCATAAAGCCAAGCACTTTGGTTTTTGTGCTTTGATTTTTCTCACTGTAGAGTCTGATTCAGGGTGAATCACTCCTACGCTTAAATTTTACTGTTTCATCCATCCTCTTGTATTTGAAACAGTTTCTTACTTAATCTCCTTTTTGATTGATAAGATATTTCCTCGTTTAACATGTGCAGTTAAAAATCCCTTGTTCAACTGATGCTGGTAAAGGTGCATGCTGACATAAGCAGGGAATACGAACTTAGGATAATTGAAGAAAGCTATTATGTTTCAGGAGTATTAACATCTTGAAAAGAGTCTCAGTCATACTTCAGCTTAGAAGTTGTATAGAATACTGAAATAGCAGAGATGCAGGCTGTAAGCTCTACTTTGGTACCATGCATGGATATGGGTATTTGTAGATATAGTTTCACCAGAACAAAATCAGGAGTGTTGTCCAAGTTGTTGAGGGGCAAATGCAGCTTTACTTGAACCCATTTCTTTGCTAGTGAATTTCATGATCTATAAACTTTCAACTATCAGAACAGATGGTTTGGACAGATTTCTTAATATGTTCTTATTTTTTATTTCCTAAGTTGCTTTGCAAAGGCAGATGCCTATTAAAGCATATTCATTTTCAAATTCAAATCCACAAAATAAATCCTTAAAGTGAAAGAATATTCCATTAATTTGCATGTGAAATAACGGATGCCTTGTTGTGTCTCCTCTTCATTGCAAAGGAAATGTTGGGTGAGCTCTTCACTCCTGTAGAAACACCAGAAGCACCGAACAGGGGGTTCTTTAAAGGCCTGTTCGGAGGTGGGGCACAGTCACTTGACAGAGAAGAACTCTGTAAGTTTTTTTTAGTACTTGTTATTTTTCTGGTATTTCTACCCAAGAAAGCCAGTGATCCTTGAGAAATGTATTACCTGTGTTAATAGAACATTATATTTGCAAAGAGGAAAGTAAAAAAGGGAATGACAAATACTTTTTCATATCTTTTACGTGTTGTACACCTTACCAACAAGATCAAAAAAGCCTGGTGCTGTTTTCTCACAGGCTCCTTTACCTCATTTATTCGGGAGTAGATTATAAAACAAGAAATAGGACAATTGATCTTATTTTTATTCATCTTTATGAAGTGTGTAGTACTGACCATGTTTTTCTTAATGGTGTTAAACTGAAAGGGGCTGGTTCTGGAGAACACTATTCTGGACAGTGAGAAAATTAAAACTCCATTCTACTTCAGTTTGTTTGCTAGATTCTTTTTCCTCATTTGACTTGTGCAGAGATGCCTTAGGAGTGAGAGCAAGGACAGAACTGTATGATAGTTCAATTTAGTGCACTGTTCATAGCACAGTAAAATTCAGATTTGGCAAAGTTTTTATTGCTTTATCATTTTTTTCATTGTTTTTTGATTACAACTTTTTTACTGTGGTAGCATGCAGCTTTTTAGTATATTTAAGGAAAATAACTTCCACTTATTCAGGTATTTGCTAGATTGAACACTATATTATGCAAGTTTATTTGTAAGAACTGTTTCCTTTTTAACATGAAACATAGCTCTTAACAGGCAAGGCTCCCTGGCAATCCTTTATTTTTTTATTGGTTCTTTTGATCTATCCAATAAAAATTAAATTAGTCTTTACTATTTGTGCCTGTACATTTTGAACAAATATCAAATATTTAGAGGTCACTTTCTCCATTAAAAATTCCATTTGTATTTATATATGTGTAATACTTTGAAAGGTTGGTCAGGTATTCTATTAGAGAAATTTGTGCACACAAATTATATGTTTAATTAGTATGACTGGGACAGGAAAAAAATGGCTTTTTGTGGCAACAGAAAAAAACTCTTGTAACTTTAGAAGCGATCTTCTTACATCATTTCAATTTTCCACCATCAAGTTTTGGCTTAGATCTTCAGAAGGAAAATAGTATTGAGTGGGAGAAAAAAGCCTAATGAATTAATTGTAGCCTGAAAGTAAGTTCAATGACAATTCAAAAGACATCTGAAAGTCTCTTTAAAATAGTCATATTTAACATGAGGGTCACAGCAGAATCTGTAATAAGTGAAATGATTCCTTTTTTTTTTATTTTTGGCAATTCACAGAAAGGTGTTTATAGTGTTAGTTGAAATCTAAATCATTCTTCCTAGAAGCATAAAATCAAATCATAAAATCTTGAAATACTGCAGCAAAACTTGTTAAATATGTTAATATTATTTTTCCCAGAAGTGAAAAAGAAGAAAATGTTTAAACCATAATTTCATTGTTTAGAAAAAAAAGTTACAGATTATTTGGTTTGACTTCAGCATCCAAAAATGTTTTGGCCTTAACTCAAATTTTTGTAGAGTATACAATTCAGCATGAGATTGACATGTCCGTTAGGTGTCTAGACTGAACTAGGTGGCTGATGTCCCATTATGAGCAAAGGAGATGTAGTCAATGCAGTCACTGGAGTCTAGACAGCTGTTCAGCTGGCCATTCATGGGTGTTTACTTCAGGATGAGCTGATTTGTTCTTATAGCTGTGCTGCCTTTTCATGACTTAAATGACTTTTTTTTTTTACAAGATTTTTACAATAATGAGAGCATAAACACCTAATCTTCAGGTGTCTGCATCTAAAACTGAACTTCCATCAAAGGAAACTTCTGCTGGTGGAGTCATACTGGCTAGCTACACCAGCAAAGCACTTCCAGAACTGACCACAGCTTGTATTTTCAAAATTCTCCTCCTTTGTCTGCTGAACTCCCAACACCTTCCCTGTGAAGTAAGCTATATTGTTAAAAACCACTTCACTAGCACAATTCTGTTGATGACCATGATGCTGGCACTGTTGAGAGAGTTTTAATTTCACACTTGAGCTGTGGAAAGGTTATAATTTTATAACCTGCCTGGAAATTTGGAAATATGTTTGAAAATCTCAATTTTATTGAATAGTAACATCTAGAAACATTGAGTAGTGAGTATTGCTCATAGTCATGCCTATGATTAGGTGTTTGATGTCCATGCAAAGAAATGACACCTCAAACTTACATTGGTATTTATGTGATAGTGATAGAAAACCTTACTATTCTGTTTTTGCTGCTTTGCAAATGCTTCCAGTTGGAGAATCAGCATCTGGGAAGGCATCAAGGAGTCTTGCCCAGCATATTCCAGGGCCTGGGGGTATTGAAGGTGTCAAAGGAGCAGCATCTGGTGTAGTTGGTGAACTAGCACGAGCCCGGTTGGCGCTAGACGAAAGAGGACAGAAACTAGGAGAACTGGAAGAAAAAACTGCAGCTATGCTTTACAGTGCTGATTCTTTCTCTAAACACGCTCATGAGGTGAGTCTGTTACATGTTAAGCTGAACATTAAACTGATACTCTAGCAAAAATTGCAAGTTTTGCAAGTAACTGGCTTCTGCAAAGCCATGTTAGAGGTATCTAAAGGGAATGCAATATCGCTGAAAAAGGACACTTCCCTTTTATCTATCAATCATTATTCCTAATAATTAAGTATTAATGTAAACAGCTTTGTCTCGTGGCACATTGGTCTAGAGCATACCCTCTGCCTGAGTGGCATGTGGATTTCCAAAAGTGCAACTCAGTTCACATTACTTAAAGAATTTGTCACTGAGTTAGATAAGAATATTGCTCTGTGCGAGATTCCTGTGGTTCTTAAGAAAGACCCAATTGTTGTATGCAAACCCCCTGAGTCCAAGTTATTTATTTTTTTTCCTCAGTAACTACATAGGATGGCTGTTCTCTTCTGTGTTCATCCAGATCTCTTTCCATCTCCTAAACTCTTGTGCAACCTTTCCATTGTCCCAAAAACATCTTTTTCTATCTGAGGCCAGATCATCAGCAGTGTTGCTACCATTAGAAAATTCATCATGCTAAACCCTTGCTGTTCAGCAATGTTGTTGTTGCAGTTTTGAGAAGCCTTACTAAAGTCCCTCTTTCTCATGCTGCTTTGTAAGCATATAATTTGTTTATATCATTGTACTTTTTGGTTCGTTATAGAAGCAGTAATTAGAAATTGTTTTTTGTTTTTCTAGATGATGTTGAAGTACAAAGACAAGAAGTGGTACCAATTCTGATGATGCTCATCAATTACATCTGTTTAATTTTGTCCTGATGAAAAAAAATCTTGGTTTTTCATTAATTTTGGCAGGACCTTCGAAATTCAAAGGAGTATTTACCATTGGATACTGTTGTTTCCTAGCACAAATCACACACTGTTTTACCTCAGTCATGGCTTTAACTGAGGAGCTTTGTATTTAAAAGAAATACACACAAAAAACCCAAACTTCAGTGTTTCTTAGCTGTTGGTTAGCTGAGAGTTGGAACAAAGAAGGTAACTGGAACATGTGGAAAAGAGGGTAAAGGGAAAACGTAGTGTGAGATGGGCAGGGGCAATGCAGGGTCAATCCTGTGTTAATATTTCATATGCCAGAAGTTTTTGTGCTATTGTAATTGCTGCCAGTGTTATACCCTCCTGTGAGGAGAGGCAATAAATCAGGGGTCCAAGAGCTGGAATAAAGTTGTCTGTCTTGCTGGACGGTAGCTGACTTACACTTACCCTCTAAGACTCACTATATTTACCATTATTGTTGAAGAAGAGTTCAAGTTTGCTGTCACTTCTTTCATCGGAAAAGCTGGAAGCTTGGAAGATTTCTTGTTGAAAATTGTATACATAGTTGACCTGTGCATAGTCTTTTCTTGGACCCCTGATCTAGTATTCTTGTATTCACATCATATTCTGTGAAGTGCAAAACAAGAGAATACACAATTTTTGCATTAAAAAAGTCAAGTGAATAATATGACTGGAATGTGTCATGCTGGGAGTTTTCATTTGTGTTACGGCTGTGCAATGTGAAATGTGGTAACATCTTCATTGTGGTAAGAATACTTCAACTTCTGTTCAGTTAAATATTATTTTTTGCCAAAAATAGTTATTGGTTCAGTTTGTGTAACATTTAGAATTGGCTGTGGGTTCCATTCATGCTGTGAACTTCTATAAATGTTTAACAGAATGTATCTTTACAGCCATTAATTAAAATAGCTGAGATAGTTTTGAGCAAAACTTAAGTTCTAGATGCCCCCCTAGTCCTTTACTGTGAAATCAGATAATCTTGGACTCAGGTTTTCAAACAGTTTTACACTCTGTGGAGGTGCTGATGCATGAATAATGGCAAGCATCTAATATTTAATAATTGTCAGTATATTGTTTAGCAAATTTCTAAATCCTGCTAGTAGAGGTATTTTACAAGTACCTATCTCAGCCCCACCCAGCACTAAAGGCCTAAAGTTTGGATTTAGTCTCTAAAGCAGTGTTTTCAATGTGGGCAGTGGTAAGTGTCCACTAAAACTTCAGGAACTGGTGAAATAATGTTCAGTTTGGGTGAGGTAAATAATATAGCTGAGCTAACTTGTTAATGGCTGCTGCACTAAAGCTGTAACAGTGGGAATGACCAGAGCTCTTTTAAAAAGAGAGGATTCCTTAAAATAAAGGTTTGCATTTCAAAAACTTATTTAGACTTTCTTCCTCAAAGCAGGAATAGTTACTGATTGATTTTGTTTTATAAAAGGGAGTACTTACAAGCTGATAGGTCTACATTGTCTGAAATTAATCATTTGGGTTTGCTTCTCCAAGCATCACATTCTGTGTGGTGTTTTTGCACACTTTCTGAATGTTCTCAAAGCAAAACCTTAGTTGTATTTGTATTGTGAAGTGATGTTGCAGGTACATAGATGAGGCAACCTTACAAAACATTTAAAGCATGCAAAATATTGAAGTTACTGATGGTTCTTAATTCATTTTTCAAATGAAAGGCAAATATGTTTGGGCTTTGTAGCACAAATTGATAAATTTTCTGATTTTATGTATGGTAACAATTTAAAAAGACAAGTGAATTCTGTTGCCAGTGTGAGGGCATGCCATACCATGTCCACTGTTTAAAGAACTTAGCAAATCAGAACATGACAACTTGAACAAGTAGCTTTGATTTCTTGATGGCTCTGTCCCATACCTACTGAGTCAATGGTAACTCCAGTTACTTAACTCAGCTTGCCACACAATTTTTGCCTCTGCATGTTAATTCCTTTTCTAGTGTCCAATTAATGCATAATTAAATTAACACTATTTTGTTAAAAATTCAGGTAGAAGAAAACTAGATAAACTACTATCCATACCATTTCCAAAAATAAAACACCCTAGCTGACACTTGTCTCCTTCCTTATCTCACATTTATAAATTGAGATGACTGATTATTATTAGACCTGGTGAAGATGAACTATATTTCAGAGCTACAGAATCCTGGAAAATTAGTCTGGTCAGGCTCTGTGGGAGAGGATGGCAAAAGTACTCTTCAGCAAATCATGGTATCAATTCAATGGAAGATGACCTTGGTGTGAAAGGAAAGCCTACTTAACTTTCTCATCAATAAACATTTGACAACCACCAGCAAGCAAAAAAAAGAGGCAATGAGAGACCATCTGCCAGTACAAGAAGAGTAGTGGCTTATTTGGTATTATAGAATTTATCATAGCTGAATCTTTTTTCTGTTGCATATGTTCAGAGCATGCTTCTAAAGTTGAAAACTAATGAAATGATTACTCATGAGATGAATACACAAATGGTTCTTGGTCAATAAAAGGGGCTATGTACAATTTTATTCTAAAGCGTTCCTTTTTCCTTCTCTGTGGAAGGAAGTTGATCATACATCATTGCATCTTATTCTGCTATTGGTGGTGCACCTTTTGTACAGCAAAGTATATTGAAATCCTTAGGGTAAGCACCCCTGGTTTTTTTGCTAGCATTTTAGTTGTGTGAAACTTTTTTAGAGTGTCTGGAAAACTATAAAATACAATTGAGCTATTACTTTTTTTATTTTTTTTTGATGGAAGTGTAAGAAACTGCTGCTACCTATCTGTTTATGTGTAGTGTGTCTCATTAGGAACTGTAAACTGAAGAAGCTTTTCTTCACCTTAGTCCTGCCAAATTGTAACTTTTGAATGTTAATATGTGTAAATATGCGTGTATTCCAAATAAGTCTGAAAGTGTTACACCACAGGCATCTCCAGTGATTTGTTCTTCAGCAAACAGTCAGTTATAAATTATAGTAATATAGCTGTGTTCCTTGTCTGTCTTTATGCAAAGATTTTTGCCTGAGGTGGTACTTGTATGGCAGGTGATGTTGGAAGGCTACATCCAAAGGAGGATTTTTGGAAGCAAGTTCATTTCCTTTTTTTTCCTTTTTGCTTTCCTTTTCTCTTTTCCATTTTGCGTTTGGGGTTGGTTTTTTTTGCTTAATTAATGGCACTGATCCTACCTGGACTTTTAAACTTGAATTTTTCCTGCACTTTAATTCAATCATGGTATTTTATTCCTTAATTTTGTTTTTACATTTGTGCAGTTCAGGTTCATTATCTGTATATAAACACACATGTTCAATAAAGACTTTAGAACAGATTACTTTCAGGCACACTTGCTAATTATGTGACTATCATTTCAAATGTGTGTTTTCTTAGCAAAATATGTATATACAAGTATATACAATATAGAATCTAATGAAAGGCACGTATCCTGTGTCAGCATTCAGTTTATAAATTTCTGCAACACTTTCAGATTTGTTACTAGATAATACAATAAAATCTGTTATATTTATACATACTGCTTAAGAATATACTTTTAGTTTTAAATAATTTTTATATGTACACTTCTACCTTTAATTTTAAAAATACTTATGTTCAATTTTTAAGTCAAAGTACTTAAAGTATGTATATTATCCATAGAAGAAGTTGTTTTAAGCTTATGAATACATTCATATCTCATATCGAGATGATACAATTACTAAGCAATGAAAACAAATAGCCCATTTTGCTTTGCAGAAAATAATCATACTTATTTTTACTTCTCATTATAAACATTCTTAAACAATTCCCGAAGTATGGAGAGGGAAGATAGTACATTCAGAAAACTAACCTAATGTCAAAGTTTTCTCAATAGCTGCAGTTTGTGGCTGACTGGTTTTCTATGATTTGATTTATTTTTTTTTCAGGTATACACATGAAAGACTTTTTTCAGCTTTATTCCTTGGACTCTTAAAATTCCCCAAAATTTAAGTGAGGTTTGTCCAATAAATAGTTTCTTTGAGTAATGTATGAATTTTGATTATACATCAGCTCTTTACATATAAATCGGGGGGGGGGGGGGGGGGGGGGG